ATTAGAAATAGGAATTCAGTTGTCGGCCAGATGGACATCTGTCATTCTAAATCAGAAAAGGGAATCCAGTTGTCGGCCAGATGGACATCTGTGATACTAAAATCGGAACACACAGACAACAAAGATGGACAACTCTTTTTATAATCTTGAAATGACTATCCAACAGTCGATCAGACGGACAACTGTGATTCTAAAATAGGAATGTGAATCCCTACGGCATTAATTTTTAAACGGCACCTATTGTGAACTTTATTCATGCTACTGGAACAACATTTACTGAAGCTGAAAGAGTGGCATCATTTCTGCGTAACGATCATTCCACTTAGAAATTAATATGAAAGATATATTTTTACATAAGTTGTAATTTTTCGTAGATCTTTTTAAAATACTAAAAACTGTTTTTTTTTTTTTTTTTTTTTTTTAGTTTCCTAAGCAGTCAAAATAATATCAACCGGCCTATAACCTACTCAAAAATGTTCCTTCGGACAGACTTGGAACCTGTATTCCCTTTTTCACCTCAGTATCTACATCAGCATTTTTATTCCAACCTAATTGAACCTTGTTTTATCAGGACGGCTTCCTGTGGCCAAATCAGCAACTGCAGTTCATAGTGGCCTAGAAATTGGGATCGTTCCATGCATAAGTTGCTGTAATTTATAAATGCATTTTTTATAATCCGACATTATTTTTTTATTACTGTTATATAGGAATGAAGTGTCGCTGCCGACTGTAATTTGAACATAGATCGCCAGAGAGCAAACACAGGCGATCCCATTATTGAATTAAATGGATCACGTGACCATGGGAGAAACGTCTAAACGATCTTCATTCTAGTCTATCTTCTATTACTATACGGATCACCATTTCTAGTCTATCCTCTATTACTATACGGACCGCTATTCCCTATACTATTCACTATATTATTTCTCTATTCAGATCACTATACGGATTACTTTTCCAGCGAGTGTTATCGAGAAAGTACTATTAGTGCGAGTGTAATTCGAAGGCGTCTGACAAAAGCATTGTCCAACAGTTGAATCTACGATTACAAAGTCTCTACTACAACGAGCATTATAAAAGTGACAACGAGTATTCGTTGGAATTACAAAAGGGACAACAAGTGTTCGTTGACGTCACAAAATTACTATGTACGTTGTTTTTAGTGGTTATACGTTTTTGTGTAGATATTTTCTTAATTTTCTTAAACAGTAAAATTAATATCAACGAGCCTAGACCCTATTAAAATAACATGTGGCTTCAGATAGGTATTCAAACTGTCTTCCCTTTTTTCCCCATCAGCATTCCATTGCATTTCTTAAATAGTTAATTGATTTTTACTTTATCATGACAGATTTCCGTGACTAAATTGTCAACGGCATGCTCCGGCTTTCAGAGCGATTTTCCCGATGGTAAAGAAGATGCTGGTTCGATTCCTGTTGGGAGTCTTATATTTTTCTTTAGCAAGACTTCTCACTCTAGGCCGGATGATATTAATTCCCCTGTTTAAAATCAATGATATCGTCTGAAACATATGTACCTACTAAAAACGACGTTTATATTAATAGATATGAAAATCTCTGATTCTACACAGTTACAGCTATAGTTGGTACAACGGCCAACCACGATTTGCTGCTGTTAATTTTATTTGTATTAGAAACACTGATAGAGATGTATTCATTGGTTAATCTTGGTGACTTAAGGAATTTGATTGGCTCTACAAAGTAACACGCCTCAAAGCTAATGTCTACGTTTCCTTAGATATTGACACGGTTAACTCCAAAACACCTTTTTGGCTGGGACTGAGACTTGTTTGTCAGTGACGATTTATTATTGACTTTTTTTTCTTTCTATGTGCCATGTCCTTTCAGGACGTAGGCGATCATGGCACTCCACCCCCTCCTATTCTTTGCAGCTCTCAATGTTCCTTCCCTCTGATTCCTCCCCCAGACAACGTTCTGTCATCCATTTGCTTAAGCCCGCCAGTTATGTTACGCGTTATTTTCCCCTGCCTCTCCTTCCCTCAATTCAACTCGTGAGTATCAGATTCTCCAAGCCCTCCTTCCTCATTATGTGTCCCAGAAACTTCAGCTGTCTCTTCTTGATATTAAGTATAAGCCTCCTCCTTGTTTGCATCCTCTCTAAGACCTCATCGTTGCTCACACTCTCGGCCCATGATATCCTTAGCATCCTTCTGCAGAACCACATCTCCGTCGCCTCGAGTCTCTTCTTTATCTTTGAGGAAATCGTCTAACATTCGCTGCCGTAAAGAAGGACAGATGTCACGTAACAGCTCAGTATTCTTTTCTTTGTTACCAAAGAAATCCTCCTGTCTCGCTATACTCTGCTCAGATTTTGGAATGCGTCTTTGGCCTTCCCAATACGTCAATTCGTCTACGGTTCTCAGTATCGCACTTACTGTCCTCTGTGAAAACGCTTCCCAGATATTCAAACTTCCGCGTCTGTTTGATTCGAGCGTTCCCGACCTTCAAATCGCATTTGGGGCTCATCCGCTTACTGATGACTGATAGTGAGATAATATGTCCCAGAAACTTCAGTTGTTTCTTCCTGATTATGAATATGTGTCCATTTGTTTTGTTTTCCTTTTCCTTAAAAATTCATTGTTGCTCATATATTCCGTCTATTGTATTCTCACCATTATTCTGTAGAATCACATCTTTGTAGCCTCAAGCATGCACTACCATTTAAGAGGATTGATATCAATATTCTTTTCTTTGAGTCTGTGGATTACCGTGACGTTCTGGGATAATTTGACCCGGGTTTCTTGTTTAAATTCTATATCTCTTCAGGCATTACACATATTTTCTTCTTCTAGCAGGTAGGCAATCATAACTCTCCACAACTTCCTATTTTTTGTGGTTCTTAGCAATGCTTGTTTTTTTTAACCATCCCTTCTAATTAATGTCCCCTTTTTTTTTTTAAAGAATTTCACCCCAAGCAAGGCGTGAGTGCCACTAGCACGTAAGGGGTTACAGAGAGTAGGAGCAAGAGTAAATAGATATGATTGAGGAAAGGATAAAGAGAAGTATAGGGAATTAGATCAAGGCACCTGGAGATGTCGATTGACATTGCATTTGAATATTTGGGGATTATAGCTATAAGGGAAGCAAGTAAGAGGGGGAGTTCCACAGACGGGAAGTGAAGATATTGGAGTAGAAGAGACGGCTACATTTAACCGTTTCGACAGTGAAAGTTTGAGACTGAGATGCCAACCTAGTAGCACGTTTAAATTCATGCAGTTTGGGAACAAGCGAAAGTAGCTCGTCGGAGCAGTTACCGTGATAGCATTTGTAGAAAAGACAGAAGGAATCGACGACACGCCTATGAGAGAGCGACTTGTAAACGAGATGCCAGATCAGGGCCAATCACATTGCATATCTGTCTCTGGATTTTGTCAAGGACCTTAAGACGAACAGCGGAGTCTCCAGACCATATATAGCAGCAGTATTCCATCCAAGGGCGAATGATTGATTTATAGACTTGAAGGATGGACTCGGACGAGAAAAACTTTCTAGCGCGACACAGAGAACCAAATTTCCTTGCGGTAGATGAAGCTATTGATTCAATGTATTTGTTCGATCTCAGGTCAACGGACAGTTTGAGACCAAGCAGTCGCAGAGAGGTACTCTCGTAGAGTTGAGCGTAAGACATTCTAATGGGAGGCAGGGAAAGTTTCTCTGTGGTGGGTAAAAGAGAGCAGTTTTGTTTTTGAGGCATCCATTTGCACAAACTCGTTTGGCAGTTTACTCGTTGTTTATTCCTGCCCGTCTTATCCGCAATATGTCCTCTGAGTGTCCAATTCTTTTAGCCCAAGGAAAAGTGTCCTTTCTTTTTCTTCCAATTCTCCTTCAAGCTTTCTCGTTACTCACAGGTTCCGTCCGTAGTATTCTCATGATACTTCTGTAGAAGCACATTTCTGTTGCTTCGTAATCTCTACATTAGCCATGCTGAAATTTTCCAGAATTCATATAGGGTGTTTCAATAACTAGGACCGATTTTAAATGTGAATTAAATTTAAGCGTCTAATGATTTTTTTTTCTTTTTCTTTCAGATTTAACAACTTAAGTCTTTGGCAATTCAAACAGAAATGCATTTCGCGATTTTTGGTCACCATAATTGACCAACCGAGAGTTGTTCGTAAATTCAAACAAACTGGGTTGGTGGCATTGCGTGATATTTACGCCTGAAAACATTGCTGCAGTGCACGAGAATGTGACCGAAAATCCAGACCCCTCTATTCGTCATCGCACGCAGTAATTGAACCTCTCCACAACAACGTTACATCGAATTTTGACAAAAAAAAATTTGTCTCTACACGCTTAAAAAAACAATTGACACAAGAACTGAAACATGCTGACAATTTGGAGCGCTGTACATTCGTCAATTGAGTACACGAGCTGATGAAGCCCATTTTCAACTTGGTGGATTCATTAATAAGCTGAATTGTCCCATTTGGGCTGATGAAAATCCAAGGAAGATTGTTGAAAAGCCACTTCATCCACAAAAGTTCCCTGTTTGGTGTGCATTTTTTTACTAGCGGAATCATTGGGCCGTATATTTATAATTTTAAACGTCCATTTTCGTAATAGGCTTCGATAACTTTAACACGTTATTCGATGGTTAATGTTTTCATGGTTGAAATTGCCAAAGACTTAAGTTGTTAAATCTGAAAGAAAAAGAAAAAAAATCATTAGACCCTGAAATTTAATTCACATTTAAAATCAGTCCAGGATATTGAAACACACTATACAAGGTCTAAGAGCAACTCAAGTTAGAGCATTGTTGAAATTTTCCAGCATTGATATATATCAATTCAGGATTGATATTGCATATCTTTTCAACACTCTTTTCCTAGCTCATGTAATTGGTAAATATGAATGAATAAATCAATCACGAGGCATGCGCAGCAGTAGATCGAGTATGGCATAAGGACATGCTTAGAATGATTTGATGGTACTGAATCTTTGCACATGTAGTGTAAAATGATCTGTGAATGGATCATTTTAACTATTGCTCTAACGAAGATATATCTCTTTTCTCTCAGTTTAACTCTCCATTTGGCCAATGAGCTCTTTTCTCTCGATTTAACTCTCCATCTGGCCAATGAGCTCTTTTTTTACTCGGGTTAACTCTCCATCTGGCCAATAAGATGTTTTCTCCAAGTTTAACTCTCCATCTGACTAATGTGCGCTTTTCTCTCGGTTTAACTCTCCATCTGGCCAATGAGCTCTTTAATCTCTCGGTTTAACTCTCCATCTGACCAATGTGCTCTTTTCTCTCGGTTTAACTCTCCATCTGACCAATGTGCTCTTTTCTCTCGGTTTAATTCTCCATCTGGCCATTGAGCTCTTTTCTCTCGGTTTAACTCTCCATCTGGCCAATGAGCTCTTTAATCTCTCGGTTTAACTCTCCATCTGGCCAATAAGCTCTTTAATCTCTCGGTTTAACTCTCCATCTGGCCAATAAGCTCTTTTCTCGGTTTAACTCTCCATCTGACCAATGTGCTCTTTTCTCTCGGTTTAACTCTCCATCTGGCCATTGAGCTCTTTTCCTCTCGATTTAACTCTCCATCTGGCCAATGAGCACTTTAATCTCTCGGTTTAACTCACCATCTGGCCAATCAGATGTTTTCTCTAGGTTTAACTCTGCATCTGGCCAATGAGCACTTTAATCTCTCGGTTTAACTCTCCATCTGGCCAATAAGCTCTTTAATCTCTCGGTTTAACTCTCCATCTGACCAATGTGCTCTTTTCTCTCGGTTTAACTCTCCATCTGGCCATTGAGCACTTTTCTCTCGGTTTAACTCTCCATCTGGCCAATGAGCTCTTTAATCTCTCGGTTTAACTCTCCATCTGACCAATAAGCTCTTTAATCTCTCGGTTTAACTCTCCATCTGGCCAATAAGCTCTTTTCTCTCGGTTTAACTCTCCATCTGACCAATGTGCTCTTTTCTCTCGGTTTAACTCTCCATCTGGCCAATGTGCTCTTTTCTCTTGGTTTAACTCTCCATCTGGCCAATGTGCTCTTTTCTCTTGGTTTAACTTTCCATCTAACCAATGAGCTCTTTTTTTACTCGATTTAACTCTCCATCTGACCTAAAAGATCTTATCTCTCAGTGTAACTCTCCATCTGGCCATTGAGCTCTTTTCTCTTGGTTTAACTCTCCATCTGACCAATGAGCATTTTAATCTCTCGGTTTAACTCTCCATCTGATCAATAAGATCTTTAATCTCTCGGTTTAACTCTCCATCTGGCCAATAAGCTCTTTTCTCTCGGTTTAACTCTCCATCTGACCAATGTGCTCTTTTCTCGCGGTTTAACTCTCCATCTAGCCAATGTGCTCTTTTCTCTCGGTTTAACTCTCCATCTGGCCAATGTGCTCTTTTCTCTTGGTTTAACTTTCCATCTAACCAATGAGATCTTTTCTCTTGATTTAACTCTCCATCTGGCCAATGTGCTCTTTTCTCTTGGTTTAACTCTCCATCTGGCCAATGTGCTCTTTTCTCTTGGTTTAACTTTCCATCTAACAAATGAGCTCTTTTCTCTTGGTTTAACTCTCCATCTGGCCAATGAGCTCTTTTCTCTCGGTTTAACTCTACATCTGGCCAATGTGCTCTTTTCTCTCGGTTTAACTCTACATCTGGCCAATGAGTTATTTTCTCTCGGTTTAACTCTACATCTGGCCAATGAGTTCTTTTCTCTCGATTTAACTCTCCATCTGGCCAATGAGCTCTTTAATCTCTCGGTTTAACTCACCATCTGGCCAATCAGATGTTTTCTCTAGGTTTAACTCTCCATCTGGCCAATGAGCACTTTAATCTCTCGGTTTAACTCTCCATCTGGCCAATAAACTCTTTAATCTCTCGGTTTAACTCTCCATCTGACAAAATAAGCTTTTTCTCTCGGTTTTAACTCTCCATCGGCCAATAAACTTTTAATAATATCTCGGTTTAACTTCCATCTGACCAATGCTTTAACTTTCTCTCGGTTTAACTCTCCATCTGGCCATTGAGCACTTTTCTCTCGGTTTTAATTCTCCATCTGGCCAATGAGCTTTTCTTTTTAATCTCTCGGTTTAACTCCCCCATCTGACCAATAAGTTTTTTAATCTCTCGGTTTAACTCTCCATCTGGCCAATAAGCTCTTTTCTCTCCGTTTAACTCTCAATCTGACCAATGAGTGCTCTTTTCTCTCGGTTTAACTCTCCATCTGGCCATTGAGCTCAATCTGGCCAATGAGCTCTTTTTCTCTTGGTTTTTCTTGGTTTAACTTAATCTGGCCAATGAGCTCTTTTTTTACTCGGTTTAACTCTCCATCTGGTGCTCTTTTCTCTTGGTTTAACTCTCCATCTGATCAATAAGCTCTTTAATCTCTCGGTTTAACTCTCCATCTGGCCAAATAAGCTCTTTTCTCGGTTTAACTCTCATATGGCTAATGTGCTTTTTTCTTGGTTTAACTCTCCATCTGGCCAATGTGCTCTTTTCTCTTGGTTTAACATTCCATCCCAATGAGCTCTTTTTCTCTTGGCCAATGAGGTTTAACTCCATCTGGCCAATGTGCTCTTTTTTACTCTTGGTTTAACTTTCCATCTAACAAATGAGCTCTTTTTCTCTTGGTTTAACTCTCCATCTGGCCAATGAGCTCTTTTCTCTCGGTTTAACTCTACATCTGGCCAATGTGCTCTTTTTCTATAGTTTAACTCTACATCTGGCCAATGAGTTATTTTCTCTCGGTTTTCTACATCTGGCCAATGAGTTTTTTCTCTCGATTTAACTCTCCATCCATCTGGTTTAACCTATCTGGCCAAAGATGTTTCTCTAGAGGTTTAACTCTCCATCTCTCACTTAATTCTCTCGGTTTAACTCTCCATCTGGCCAATAAACTTTTAATCTCTCGGTTTAACTCTCCATCTGACAAATAAGCTCTTTCTCTCGGTTTAACTCTCCATCTGGCCATCTGGTTTAACTCAACCAATGTGCTGGTTTAACTTCCATCTGGCCATTGAGCACTTTTCTCTCGGTTTAACTCTCCATCTGGCCAATGAGCCTTTAATCTCTCGGTTTAACTCCCCATCTGACCAATAAGCTTTTTCTCTCGGTTTAACTCTCCATCTGACTCTTTTCTCTCTGTTTAACTCTCAATCTGACCAATGAGCTCTTTTCTCTCGGTTTAACTTCCATCTGGCCATTGAGCTCCATCTCTGGCCAATGAGGCTCTTTTCTCTTGGTTTAACTTCTTTTATCTGGCCAATGAGCTCTTTTTTACTCGATTTTATCTCTCCATCTGGCCTAAAAGATCTCATCTCTCAGTGTAACTCTCCATCTGGCCATTGAGCTATTTAACTCTCCATCTGGCCAATGTGCTTTTTTTCTCTTGGTTTAACTCTCCATCTGGTTGCTCTTTTCTGTTGGTTTAACTCCATCTGGCCACTCTTGGTTTAACCTCCATCTGATCAATGTCTTTAATCTCTCAGTTTAACTCTCCATCTTTCTTTTTCTCTTGGTTTAACTTTACATCTGATCATCTCTTTAATCTCTCGGTTTAACTCTCCATCTGGCCATGTGCTCTTTTCTCTTGGTTTAACTTTCCATCTGAAATAAGCTCTTTAATCTCTCGGTTTAACTCTCCATCTGGCCAATGTGATCTTTTCTCTTGGTTTAACTCTCCATCTGGCCAATGTGCTCTTTTCTCTTGGTTTAACTCTCCATCTGATCAATGGATTTAACTCACCATCTGGCCAATGAGCTCTTTTTCTTGGTTTAACTTTACATCTGGCCAATGAACTCTTTTTTTTACTGATTTAACTTCTGGTTTAAGATCTTTCTCATCTAACTCTCCAATTGAGCTCTTTTCTCTTGATTTAACTCTCCATCTGGCCAATGTGCTCTTGGTTTAACTCTCCATCTGGTTTAAACTCTCCATCTGGCCAATGTGCTCTTTTCTCTTGGTTTAACTCTCCATCTGATCAATAAGCTCTTTAATCTCTGGTTTAACTCTCCATCTGGCCAATAAGCTCTTTTCTCTCGGTTTAACTATATGGCCAATGTGCTCTTTTCTCTTGGTTTAACTCTCCATCTGGCAATGTGGGTTTAACATTCCATCTAACCAATGAGCTCTTTTCTCTTGATTTAACTCTCCATCTGGCCAATGTGCTTTTTCTTGGTTTAACTCTCATCTGGCCAATGATCTAACAAATGAGCTCTTTTCTTTTTTAACTCTCCATCTGGCCAATTTTCTTTTTCTCTACATCTAATGTGCTCTACATCTGGCCAACTCTACATCCAATTTTTTTCTCTCGGTTTAACTCTACATCTGGCCAATGAGTTTTTTCTCTCGATTTAACTCATCTGGCCAATGAGCCATCTGGTTTAACTCACCATCTGGCCAATCAGCTGTTTTCTCTCCAGTTTAACTCTCCATCTGGCCAATGATGCACTTTTAATTCTCGGTTTAACTCTTTAACTCTATCTTTTCTTTAATCTCTCGGTTTAACTTCCATCTGACCAATGTGCTCTTTTCTCTCATCCATCTGGCCAATTTTCTCTCGGTTTTTAACTCTCCATCTTAATGAGCTCTTTTCTCTCGGTTTAATCTTTACATCTGGTTTTTTTTAACTCTCCATCTGGCCATCTCTTTTCTCTTGATCTAACCAATGAGGTCTTTTCTCTCGGTTTAACTCTCCATCTGGCCATTGAGCTCTTTTCTCTCGGTTTAGATTTCCATCTGGCCATTCTTTTCTCGATTTAACTCACCATCTGGCCAATGAGGCTCTTTTCTCTTTGGTTTAACTTACATCTGGCCAATGAGCTCTTTTTTTTACCCGATTTAACTCCTCCATCTGGCCTAAAAGGTCTTATCTCTCAGTGTAACTCTCCATCTGGCCATTGAGCTCTTTTTTTCTTGATTTAACTCTCCATCTGGCCAATGTGCTTTTTTCTTGGTTTAACTTCCATCTGGCCAATATGCTCTTTTGTCTTGGTTTAACTCTCCATCTGGCCAATGTGCTCTTTTCTCTTGGTTTAACTCTCCATCTGGCCAATGTGCTTTTTTCTCGGTTTAACTTTCCATCTAACAAATGAGCTCTTTTCTCTTGGTTTAACTCTCCATCTGGCCAATGAGCTCTTTTCTCTCGGTTTAACTTCACCATCTGGCCAATGAGCTTTTTTTCTCTCATTTAACTTTACATCTGGCCAATGAGCACTTTTTCTCTTGGTTTAACTCTGGCCAATGTGCTCTTTTCTCTTGGTTTAACTCTCCATCTGGCCAATGTGCTTTTTTCTTGGTTTAACTCTCCATCTGGCCAATGTGCTCTTTTTTCTTTTTAACTTTCCATCTAACCAATGAGCTCTTTTCTCTCGGTTTAACTCACCATCTGGCCAATGAGCTTTTTTTTCTCGGTTTAACTTTTCACATCTGGCCAATGAGTTCTTTTTCTCTCGATTTAACTCACCATCTGGCCAATGGTTTTTTTTCTCGGTTTAACTCTCCATCTGGCCATCTTTTCTCTTGGTTTAACTCTCCATCTGGCCAATGAGCTCTTTTCTCTCGGTTTAACTCTCCATCTGGCCATGTGCTGGTTTAACTCTCCATCTGGCCAATGTGCTCTTTTCTCTTTTAACTCATCTGGTTTTTTCTTGGTTTAACTCTCCATCTGGCCAATGTGCTCTTTTCTCTTGGTTTAACTCACCATCTGAATGTCTTTTCTCTTGGTTTAACTCTCCATCTGGCTAATGTGCTCTTTTCTCTGGTTTAACTCCATCTGGCCAATGTGCTAACTCTCCATCTGGCCAATGTGCTCTTTTCTCTTGGTTTAACTCTCCATCTGGCCAATGTGCTCTTTTTCTTTGGTTTAATGTGCTTTTTTCTCTTGGTTTAACTTCCATCTGGCCAATGAGCTCTTTTTCTCTCCAGTTTAACTTCACCATCTGGCCAATGAGCTTTTTTTTTCTCGGTTTAACTTACATCTGGCCAATGAGCACTTTTTCTCGGTTTAACTCTCCCATCTGGCAACTCTCCATCTGGCCAATGTGCTCTTTTCTCTTGGTTTAACCTCCATCTGGCCAATGAGCTCTTTTTCTCTCGGTTTAACTCTCCATCTGGCCAATGTGCTTCTTTTCTCTTGGTTTAACTTTCCATCTAACCAATGAGCTCTTTTCTCTCAATTTAACTCACCATCTGGCCAATGAGCTTTTTTCTCTCGGTTAAATTTACATCTGGCCAATGAGCTCTTTTTTTTTTTTTACTCGATTTAACTCTCCATCTGGCCAATGTGCTCTTTTCTCTTGGTTTAACTTTCCATCTAACCAATGAGCTCTTTTCTCTTGATTTAACTCTCCATCTGGCCAATGTGCTCTTTCCTCTTGGTTTAACTCTCCATCTGGCCAATGTGCTCTTTTCTCTCGGTTTAACTCTCCATCTGGCCAATGTGCTCTTTTCTCTTGGTTTAACTTTCCATCTAACCAATGAGCTCTTTTCTCTCGGTTTAACTCACCATCTGGCCAATGAGCTTTTTTCTCTCGGTTTAACTTTACATCTGGCCAATGAGCTCTTTTTTTACTCGATTTAACTCTCCATCTGGCCAATGTGCTCTTTTCTCTTGGTTTAACTTTCCATCTAACCAATGAGCTCTTTTCTCTTGATTTAACTCTCCATCTGGCCAATGTGCTCTTTTCTCTTGGTTTAACTCTCCATCTGGCCAATGTGCTCTTTTCTGTTGGTTTAACTCTCCATCTGGCCAATGTGCTCTTTTCTCTTGGTTTAACCCATCTAACCAATGAGCTCTTTTTCTTTGTTTAACTCTCCATCTGGCCAATGAGCTCTTTTTCTCTCGGTTTAACTCTACATCTGGCCAATGAGTTCTTTTCTCTCGATTTAACTCACCATCTGGCCAATGAGCTTTTTTTCTCGGTTTAACTTTCCATCTGGCCAATGTGCTCTTTTCTCTGGTTTAACTCTCCATCTGGCCAATGTGCTTTTTCTCTTGGTTTAACTCTCCCATCAGGCCAATGTGCTCTTTTCTCTTGGTTTAACTTTCCATCCCAACCAATGAGCTCTTTTCTCTCGGTTTAACTCTCCATCTGGCCAATGAGCTCTTTCTCTCGGTTTAACGGTTCTGGCCAATGAGTTCTTTTCTCGATTTAACCTCACCATCTGGCCAATGAGCTCTTTTCTCTCGGTTTAACTTTACATCTGGCCAATGAGCTCTTTTTTTACTCGATTTAACTCTCCATCTGGCCTAAAAGATCTTATCTCTCAGTGTAACTCTCCATCTGGCCATTGAGCTCTTTTCTCTTGATTTAACTCTCCATCTGGCCAATGTGCTCTTTTCTCTTGGTTTAACTCTCCATCTGGCCAATATGCTCTTTTCTCTTGGTTTATCTCTCCATCTGGCCAATGTGCTCTTTTCTCTTGGTTTAACTCTCCATCTGATCAATAAGCTCTTTAATCTCTCGGTTTAACTCTCCATCTGGCCAATGAGCTCTTTTCTCTTGGTTTAACTTTACATCTGATCAATAAGCTCTTTAATCTCTCGGTTTAACTCTCCATCTGGCCAATGTGCTCTTTTCTCTTGGTTTAACTCTCCATCTGATCAATCTCTCGGTTTAACTCTCCATCTGGCCAATGTGGATCTTTTCTCTTGGTTTAACTCTCCATCTGGCCAATGTGCTCTTTTCTTGGTTTAACTCTCCATCTGATCAATAAGCTCTTTAATCTCTCGATTTAACTCACCATCTGGCCAATGAGCTCTTTTCTCTTGGTTTAACTTTTTACATCTGGCCAATGAACTCTTTTTACTCGATTTAACTTCCATCTGGCCTAAAAGATCTTATTCTCAGTGTAACTCTCCATCTGGCCATTGAGCTCTTTTTCTCTTGATTTAACTCCATCTGGCCAATGTGTTTTTCTCTTGGTTTAACTCTCCATCTGGCCAATATGCTCTTTTCTCTTGGTTTAACTCTCCATCTGGCCAATGTGCTCTTTTCTCTTGGTTTAACTCTCCATCTGATCAATAAGCTCTTTAATCTCTCGGTTTAACTCTCCATCTGGCCAATGAGCTCTTTTCTCTTGGTTTAACTTTACATCTGATCAATAAGCTCTTTAATCTCTCGGTTTAACTCTCCATCTGGCCAATGTGCTCTTTTCTCTTGGTTTAACTCTCCATCTGATCAATAAGCTCTTTAATCTCTCGGTTTAACTCTCCATCTGGCCAATGTGATCTTTTCTCTTGGTTTAACTCTCCATCTGGCCAATGTGCTCTTTTCTCTTGGTTTAACTCTCCATCTGATCAATAAGCTCTTTAATCTCTCGATTTAACTCACCATCTGGCCAATGAGCTCTTTTCTCTTGGTTTAACTTTACATCTGGCCAATGAACTCTTTTTTTACTCGATTTAACTCTACATCTGGCCTAAAAGATCTTATCTCTCAGTGTAACTCTCCATCTGGCCATTGAGCTCTTTTCTCTTGATTTAACTCTCCATCTGGCCAATGTGCTCTTTTCTCTTGGTTTAACTCTCCATCTGGCCAATATGCTCTTTTCTCTTGGTTTAACTCTCCATCTGGCCAATGTGCTCTTTTCTCTTGGTTTAACTCTCCATCTGATCAATAAGCTCTTTAATCTCTCGGTTTAACTCTCCATCTGGCCAATAAGCTCTTTTCTCTCGGTTTAACTCTCCATATGGCCAATGTGCTCTTTTCTCTTGGTTTAACTCTCCATCTGGCCAATGTGCTCTTTTCTCTTGGTTTAACATTCCATCAACCAATGAGCTCTTTTCTTGATTTAACTCTCATCTGGCCAATGTGCTCTTTTCTTTTAACTCTCCATCTGGCCAATGTGCTTTTCTCTTGGTTTAACTTTCCATCTAACAAATGAGCTCTTTTCTCTTGGTTTGACTCTCCATCTGGCCAATGAGCTCTTTTCTCTCGGTTTAACTCTCCATCTGGCCAATGTGCTCTTTTCTCTCGGTTTAACTCTACATCTGGCCAATGAGTTATTTTCTCTCGGTTTAACTCTCCATCTGGCCAATGAGTTCTTTTCTCTCGATTTAACTCTCCATCTGGCCAATGAGCTCTTTAATCTCTCGGTTTAACTCACCATCTGGCCAATCAGATGTTTTCTCTAGGTTTAACTCTCCATCTGGCCAATGAGCACTTTTTCTCTCGGTTTAACTCTCCATCTGGCCAATAAACTTAATCTCATTTAACTCTCCATCTGACCAATGTGCCAAACTCTCCATCTGGCCATTGAGCACTTTTCTCTCTCGGTTTAACTCTCCATCTGGCCAATGAGCTCTTTTCTCTCGGTTTAACTCTCCATCTGGCCAATAAGCTCTTTTCTCTCGGTTTAACTCTCCATCTGGCCAATAAGCTCTTTTCTCTCGGTTTAACTCTCCATCTGACCAATGTTTCTTTTTCTCTCGGTTTAACTCTCCATCTGGCCATTGAGCTCTTTTTCTCGGTTTAGATTTCCATCTGGCCAATAAAAGTTCTTTTCTCTCTCATTTAACTCACCATCTGGCATCTTTTCTCTTGGTTTAACTTTCCATCTGGCAATGAGCTCTTTTTTTTTTTTTTTAACTCTCCATCTGGCCAAAAAGATCTTTATCTCTCAGTTTAACTCTCCATCTGGCCATTGAGCTCTTTTTTCTTGATTTAACTCCATCTGGCCAATGTGCTCTTTTCTCTTGGTTTAACTCTCCATCTGGCCAATATGATCTTTTCTCTTGGTTTAACTCTCCATCTGGCCAATGTGCTTTTTCTCTTGGTTTAACTCTCCATCTGGCCAATGTGCTCTTTTCTCTTGGTTTAACTTTCCATCTAACCAATGAGCTCTTTTCTCTTGGTTTAACTCTCCATCTGGCCAATGAGCTCTTTTCTTTAACTCGGTTTAACTCACCATCTGGCCAATGAGCTTTTTTCTCTCGGTTTAACTCTCCATCTGGCCAATGTGCTCTTTTCTCTTGGTTTAACTCTCCATCTGGCCAATGTGCTTTTTCTCTTGGTTTAACTCTCCATCTGGCCAATGTGCTCTTTTCTCTTGGTTTAACTTTCCATCTGGCCAATGAGTTCTTTTCTCTCGGTTTAACTTTCCATCTGGCCAATGAGCTCTTTTCTCTCAGTTTAACTCTCCATCTGGCCAATGAGCTCTTTTCTCTTGGTTTAACTCACCATCTGGCCAATGAGCTCTTTTCTCTCGGTTTAACTTTCCATCTGGCCAATGTACTCTTTTTTCTTGGTTTAACTCTCCATCTGGCCAATGAGATTTTTCTCTCAGTTTAACTCTCCATCTGGCCAATGTGCTCTTTTCTCTTGGTTTAACTCTCCATCTGGCCAATGTGCTCTTTTCTCTTGGTTTAACTCTCCATCTGGCCAATGTGCTTAATTTCTCTTGGTTTAACTCTCCATCTGGCCAATGTGCTCTTTTCTTGGTTTAACTCTCCATCTGGCCATTGTGCTCTTTCTCTTGGTTTAACTCTCCATCTAATGTGCTCTTTTCTCTTGGTTTAACTCTCCATCTGGCCAATGTGCTCTTTTCTCTTGGTTTAACTCTCCATCTGGCCAATGTGCTCTTTTCTCTTGGTTTAACTCTCCATCTGGCCAATGTGCTCTTTTCTCTTGGTTTAACTCTCCATCTGGCCAATGTGCTTTTCTCTTTTGTTTAACTTTCCATCTAACAAATGAGCTTTTTCTCTTGGTTTAACTCTCCATCTGGCCAATGAGCTCTTTTCTCTTGGTTTAACTCTCCATCTGGGCCAATGAGCTCTTTTTTCTCTCATTTAACTCACCATCTGGCCAATGAGCTTTTTTCTCTCGGTTTAACTTTACATCTGGCCAATGAGCACTTTTCTCTCGGTTTAACTCTCCATCTGGCCAATGTGCTCTTTTCTCTTGGTTTAACTCTCCATCTGGCCAATGTGCTCTTTTCTCTTGGTTTAACTCTCCATCTGGCCAATGAGCTCTTTTCTCTCGGTTTAACTCTCCATCTGGCCAATGTGCTCTTTTCTCTTAGTTTAACTTTCCATCTAACCAATGAGCTCTTTTCTCTCGGTTTAACTCACCATCTGGCCAATGAGCTTTTTTCTCTCGGTTTAACTTTACATCTGGCCAATGAGCTCTTTTTTTACTCGATTTAACTCTCCATCTGGCCAATGTGCTCTTTTCTCTTGGTTTAACTTTCCATCTAACCAATGAGCTCTTTTCTCTTGATTTAACTCTCCATCTGGCCAATGTGCTCTTTTCTCTTGGTTTAACTCTCCATCTGGCCAATGTGCTCTTTTCTCTCGGTTTAACTCTCCATCTGGCCAATGTTTTTTCTCTTGGTTTAACTTTCCATCTAACCAATGAGCTCTTTTCTCTCAAACTCACCATCTGGCCAATGAGCTTTTTTTTTCTCGGTTTAACTCTCCATCTGGTTTAACTTTCTCGATTTAACTCTCCATCTGACCAATGTGCTCTTTTCTCTCGGTTTAACTCTCCATCTGGCCAATGAGCTCTTTTCTCTCGGTTTAACTCTCCATCTGACCAATGTGCTCTTTTCTCTTGGTTTAACTCTCCATCTGGCCAATGTTCTTTCTGTTGGTTTAACTCCATCTGGCCAATGAGCTCTTTTTTCTTGGTTTAACTTCCATCTAACCAATGAGCTCTTTTCTCTTGGTTTAACTCTCCATCTGGCCAATGAGCTCTTTTCTCTCGGTTTAACTCACCATCTTTTCTCTCGATTTAACCACCATCTGGCCAATGAGCTTTTTTCTCTCGGTTTAACTTTCCATCTGGCCAATGTGCTCTTTTCTCTTGGTTTAACTCTCCATCTGGCCAATGTGCTCTTTTCTCTTGGTTTAACTCTCCATCAGGCCAATGTGCTCTTTTCTCTTGGTTTAACTTTCCATCTAACCAATGAGCTCTTTTCTCTCGGTTTAACTCTCCATCTGGCCAATGAGCTCTTTTCTCTCGGTTTAACTCTACATCTGGCCAATGAGTTCTTTTCTCTCGATTTAACTCACCATCTGGCCAATGAGCTTTTTTCTCTCGGTTTAACTTTACATCTGGCCAATGAGCTCTTTTTTTACTCGATTTAACTCTCCATCTGGCCTAAAAGATCTTATCTCTCAGTGTAACTCTCCATCTGGCCATTGAGCTCTTTTCTCTTGATTTAACTCTCCATCTGGCCAATGTGCTCTATTCTCTTGGTTTATCTCTCCATCTGGCCAATGTGCTCTTTTCTCTTGGTTTAACTCTCCATCTGGCCAATGTGCTCTTTTCTCTTGGTTTAACTTTCCATCTAACCAATGAGCTCTTTTCTCTTGGTTTAACTCTCCATCTGGCCAATGAGCTCTTTTCTCTCGGTTTAACTCTACATCTGGCCAATGAGTTCTTTTCTCTCGATTTAACTCACCATCTGGCCAATGAGCTTTTTTCTCTCGGTTTAACTTTACATCTGGCCAATGTGCTCTTTTCTCTTGGTTTAACTCTCCATCTGGCCAATGTGCTCTTTTCTCTTGGTTTAACTCTCCATCAGGCCAATGTGCTCTTTTCTTTTTTGTTTAACTTTCCATCTAACCAATGAGCTCTTTTCTCTCGGTTTAACTCTCCATCTGGCCAATGAGCTCTTTTCTCTCGGTTTAACTCTACATCTGGCCAATGAGTTCTTTTCTCTCGATTTAACTCACCATCTGGCCAATGAGCTTTTTTCTCTCGGTTTAACTTTACATCTGGCCAATGAGCTCTTTTTTTACTCGATTTAACTCTACATCTGGCCTAAAAGATCTTATCTCTCAGTGTAACTCTCCATCTGGCCATTGAGCTCTTTTCTCTTGATTTAACTTTCCATCTGGCCAATTAACTCTTTGTTTAACTCTCCATCTGGCCAATGTATTCTTTTCTCTTGGTTTAACCCTCCAACTGGCCAATGTGCTCTTTTCTCTTGGTTTAACTTTCCATCTGGCCAATGAGCTCTTTTCTCTTGGTTTAACTCTCCATCTGGCCAATGAGCTCTTTTCTCTCGGTTTAACTCTCCATCTGGCCAATGAGTTCTTTTCTCTCGTTTAACTCACCATCTGGCCAATGAGGTTTTTTCTCTCGGTTTAACTTTACATCTGGCCAATGAGCTCCTTTTTTACTCGATTTAACTCTCCATCTGGCCTAAAATATCTTATCTCTCAGTGTAACTCTCCATCTAGCCATTGAGTTCTTTTCTCTTGTTTTAACTCTCCATCTGGCCAATGTGCTCTTTTCTCTTGATTTAACTCTCCATCTGGCCAATGTGCTCTTTTCTCTTAGTTTAACCCTCCATCTGGCCAATGTGCTCTTTTCTCTTGGTTTAACTTCCCATCTAACCAATGAGCTCTTTTCTCTTGGTTTAACTCTCCATCTGGCCAATGAGCTCTTTTCTCTCGGTTTAACTCTACATCTGGCCAATGAGTTCTTTTCTCTCTCGATTTAACTCACCATCTGGCCAATGAGCTTTTTTTTCTCTCGGTTTAACTTTACATCTGGCCAATGAGCTCTTTTTTTACTCGATTTAACTCTCCATCTGGCCTAAAAGATCTTATCTCTCAGTGTAACTCTCCATCTGGCCATTGAGCTCTTTTCTCTTGATTTAACTCTCCATCTGGCCAATGTGCTCTTTTCTCTTGGTTTAACTCTCCATCTGGCCAATGTGCTCTTTTCTCTTGGTTTAACTCTCCATCTGGCCAATGTGCTCTTTTCTCTTGGTTTAACTTTCCATCTAACCAATGAGCTCTTTTCTCTTGGTTTAACTCTCCATCTGGCCAATGAGCTCTTTTCTCTCGGTTTAACTCTACATCTGGCCAATGTGTTCTTTTCTCTCGGTTTAACTCACCATCTGGCCAATCTCTCAGTTTAACTTTACATCTGGCCAATGAGCTCTTTTTTTACTCGATTTAACTCTCCATCTGGCCTAAAAGATCTTATCTCTCAGTGTAACTCTCCATCTAGCCATTGAGTTCTTTTCTCTTGATTTAACTCTCCATCTCTCCAATGTGCTCTTTTCTCTTGGTTTAACTCTCCATCTGGCCAATGTGCTCTTTTCTCTTGGTTTAACTCTCCATCTGGCCAATGTGCTCTTTTCTCTTGGTTTAACTCTCCATCTGGCCAATGTGCTCTTTTCTCTTGGTTTAACTTTCCATCTAACCAATGAGCTCTTTTCTCTTGGTTTAACTCTCCATCTGGCCAATGAGCTCTTTTCTCTCGGTTTAACTCTACATCTGGCCAATGAGTTCTTTTCTATCGATTTAACTCACCATCTGGCCAATGAGCTTTTTTCTCTCGGTTTAACTTTACATCTGGCCAATGGCTTTTTTTACTCGATTTAATCTCCATCTGGCCAAAAGATCTTATCTCTCAGTGTAACTCTCCATCTTATTGAGCTCTTTTCTCTTGGTTTAACTCTCCATCTTGCCAATGTGCTCTTTTCTCTTGGTTTAACTCTCCATCTGGCCAATGTGCTCTTTTCTCTTGGTTTAACTCTCCATCTGGCCAATGTGCTCTTTTCTCTTGGTTTAACTTTCCATCTAACCAATGAGCTCTTTTCTCTCGGTTTAACTCTCCATCTGGCCAATGAGCTCTTTTCTCTCGGTTTAACTCTACATCTGGCCAATGAGTTCTTTTCTCTCGATTTAACTCACCATCTGGCCAATGAGCTTTTTTCTCTCGGTTTAACTTTACATCTGGCCAATGAGCTCTTTTTTTACTCGATTTAACTCTCCATCTGGCCTAAAAGTTCTTATCTCTCAGTGTAACTCTCCATCTGGCCATTGAGCTTTTTTCTCTTGATTTAACTCTCCATCTGGCCAATGTGCTCTTTTCTCTTGGTTTAACTTTCCATCTAACCAATGAGCTCTTTTCTCTTGGTTTAACTCTCCATCTGGCCAATGAGTTCTTTTCTCTCGGTTTAACTCTACATCTGGCCAATGAGTTCTTTTCTCTCGATTTAACTCACCATGTGGCCAATGAGCTTTTTTCTCTCGGTTTAACTTTACATCTGGCCAATGAGCTCTTTTTTTACTCGATTTAACTCTCCATCTGGCCTAAAAGATCTTATCTCTCAGTGTAACTCTCCATCTAGCCATTGAGCTCTTTTCTCTTGATTTAACTCTCCATCTTGCCAATGTGCTCTTTTCTCTTGGTTTAACTCTCCATCTGGCCAATGTGCTCTTTTCTCTTGGTTTAACTCTCCATCTGGCCAATGTGCTCTTTTCTCTTGGTTTAACTTTCCATCTAACCAATGAGCTCTTTTCTCTTGGTTTAACTCTCCATCTGGCCAATGAGCTCTTTTCTCTCGGTTTAACTCTACATCTGGCCAATGAGTTCTTTTCTCTCGATTTAACTCACCATCTGGCCAATGAGCTTTTTTCTCTCGGTTTAACTTTACATCTGGCCAATGAGCTCTTTTTTTACTCGATTTAACTCTCCATCTGGCCTAAAAGTTCTTATCTCTCAGTGTAACTCTCCATCTGGCCATTGAGCTTTTTTTCTGATTTAACTCTCCATCTGGCCAATGTGCTCTTTTCTCTTGGTTTAACTTTCCATCTAACAAATGAGCTCTTTTCTCTTGGTTTAACTCTCCATCTGGCCAATGAGTTCTTTTCTCTCGGTTTTAACTCTCATCTGGCCAATGAGTTCTTTTCTCTCGATTTAACTCACCATGTGGCCAATGAGCTTTTTTCTCTCGGTTTAACTTTACATCTGGCCAATGAGCTCTTTTTTCTCGATTTAACTCTCCATCTGGCCTAAAAGATCTTTTCTCTCAGTGTAACTCTCCATCTGGCCATTGGCTCTTTTCTCTTGATTTAACTCTCCATCTGGCCAATGTGCTCTTTTCTCTTGGTTTAACTTCCATCTGGCCAATATGCTCTTTTCTCTTGGTTTAACTTTCCATCTAACCAATGAGCTCTTTTCTCTTGGTTTAACTCTCCATCTGGCCAATGAGCTCTTTTCTCTCGGTTTAACTCTACATCTGGCCAATGAGTTCTTTTCTCTCGATTTAACTCACCATCTGGCCAATGAGCTTTTTTCTCTCGGTTTAACTTTACATCTGGCCAATGAGCTCTTTTTTTACTCGATTTAACTCTCCATCTGGCCTAAAAGATCTTATCTCTCAGTGTAACTCTCCATCTGGCCAATGTGCTCTTTTCTCTTGGTTTAACTCTCCATCTGGCCAATAAGCTCTAAGACATTTTCCCTGGTTTATAAGAGGAGTGATATTACATGGCAGTTTATTACTTATTTCTTATGTTTAATAAAACTGTTTTTCTTTTTATTATCTCTTAATATCTACGACCCTGAAAGTACAATATCTGGGAACGCATCTTCATGTTTAAGACGACGTGGTGTCATCATTATAAGCCGGAATCTAAATGACAGTCTATTAAGAAAAGACATGCGAATTCACTATCAAAGATTTCAAAAGATATATATCTGCTCAGAAAGTGGCGTAAATAATGAAAATGTAGTGTATATCATAGGTAGGTAGGTTTTATAAGTTAGCTTTCCCATAGAAACGGATCGTTGACCTGAAAAAAGAAATGTCTTTGTTGTGATTTTTTTCAACTCAAAAATTGACAAAGAAAACGTGAAGGCAAAAATATTATTATACATATTTTAATGTCAAATTGCAGAAATAATTGTTTTGCTGCGTTTTTTTTTTAAATCATCGCTTATTTCAAAATTTTGAGGCTTATTTTGTATGATGTTGAAAATGAATTGAGATATTTTTTTCTCCCTCTCTACTTGTTGACACGGGTTTATTTTTATTTGAAGAGGAATTTTTTCTCACTAAACATTTCGGCTATTAAGTTCAAAGAATCGATCCGTTCGATTTTGATCAACACAGAGAAAAGTCGAGAACTTTGTACCTCAATATTTACGGTTTTGATGGGAGGGGCTGAGTAGGATTATTCTTTATTTTATTTTCAAATAAAGAAATATTTATTTAGAAGCAGAGTATGCGGTTTGGATGACAAGAGAGAAGGAAAATAAAAATGAAAGTGAAAGTGAAAGAGGATCTAAAACAAAAAAGGTAAAGAAAACAAATCAATAAATTAAAATGATCCATTTTGCCGTAAATATATAGATGAATATTAACACGTCCTTTTTTTTTTTAAATAGACAGACACTTACACAAAGCCCTTGCCATAAGAACATATGCGCAGAGGGTCACGGTTACACACGCGTAAATTTTGGAGTCCCATTAACGTCAAAAATATTTTGTAATTATTATTCATTGTAACCTTATTCTTTTGAAAGTGATTTTTATTTTAATTCCTCGTTTTATTATTTTTTTTATTTATTCCTTATGAGTTTTAATGAAAACAAAAATTATGTTCTTTTATAAAACTGAAAAAAGGAAAAAGAAATCAAACTTCTCTTTATAAGCATCGTCGGCTGTTTTGACCCTATTTTTTTTTATCTTGATACACCGACTCCATTTTTGTTTGGAAACTCGTGAATATTTTTAAAAATGTTATTTGCACATAGTTTCATTTGTCCTTCATTTTTAGAATATTATATTTAGAAAAGAAAATTCTTTCTTCTTCATTTGTTTTTTCTTTTTGCGTTTCGTCTCTTTTTTTTGTCGATGTTTATTTAAATCTTTTTCAAAATTCAATATCCTTTCTTTGTTTCCCCCCTTTAAAAAATAAATAATTTGAGAGGGGAAAGAACAATTATATCTTTTTTTAAAATAAATTCACGTAACCACTCTCTTTCCGTTTTTTTACCTCTTCCTCCTTTTCTCGTATTTTTTTTTTTTAGAAAAAAATAAAGAAGAAAACGAGAAAAAATACCAAATTAAAGAATAACCAAAAATGATAAAAAAAATTCAATCAGCCGCGTCTCATCTAATAACTCATTTGTCTTTAGGAACCGTTTCATTCTTCATTGTCCGAAGACTTAATTTCATCCAATATTTAACTTTAGTAGAAATTTTCTTCTCGTTTGCTATCCTCTTCTTTCTCCATCGAAAAAATGTTTACACTGAGGTGTGACCGCCAGAAGGCGTTCATCGTATAAATGTTTTCTTTGTTGTAAAACGAGGCGCGAGCGGAATCAGCTATTTATTATAGGTCGGCGAAATCGCTCTGTATCCGAATCAACAACATCGATCTCTTCGGCCTCAATGTCAGAGCAAGGGTCATGTTGACTGAGTTCGGTGGAATCCTCCAGCTCTGAGTCGGCACCGTTACTGGCAGTAGTCAAGACCAAATCGTCAGCGCCATGGTGTTTCCCGTCGCAGCTCGAAGATGGTGTGTGGTTTGCGTCTGTCGACTTCGATGTTTTTCGCAGTTCGTTATCCTCCTGTATTTTCCTCTGCATTTTCTTGTGTTTCATCCGTCGATTCTGGAACCAGGTTTTTACCTGTTTAGAAAATAAACACCAAATATGAGTTTTTATTCGCTGAAGAAATCTATTTTGAAGGCGCTTCATAAAAAAATTACAACAAGAGAGCAAAAACGAAAATATTTAAAAATATATTCCATGAAAATAGCGAAATGTCGTAAGCCTTTCACTAATCTATCACTATTTGCAAGCGGGTGGTAGCACCTTTTAGGATCCCAGTTATGGGCAAATAGTTAACGCCCAAATTGGGATCAAAACACTATGAAAGTATAAAATAGATTTTTAGAGTAAAAATAACAGCAATACATTTTTTTGAAAAAAAAATTACCAGCAATACATTTTTGGCAAAAAAAAATATTATTTGAAAAAAAAATATTACAAAGCACTTTTGAAAAAAAAAAATTACCAGCAATACATTTTTGACAAAAGAAAAAAATATGACCAGCAAGATATTTTTTGAAAAATAAAAAAATACCAGCAATACATTTTTAAGAAACCAGCAATACATTTTTGAAAAAAAATGCTAGAAATACACTTGAAAAAAATATTACCAACAATGCATTTTTGAGAAAAGAAAAGATATCACCAGCAATACATTTTTAAGGAAAAAATATGACCCCAAAACATTTTTGAAAAATATTATTACCAGCAATACTTAAAAAATATATTACCAGCAATACACTTTTGAAGAAAAAATATATTACCAGCAATACATTTAAAAAGATATTACCAGCAATACACTTTTGAAGAAAAAATATTACCAGCAATACATTAAAAAAAAATACTACCAGCAATACACTGTTGAAAAAATGCCAGGAATACATTTGACGCTCGACAAAAAACCCTCTTTACAAAAATACTTCAATGAAAGCTGATCTACAAACTGATTTCTTACAAAGAATGCATATTATACATGCAAAATTATCCTAAAAATCCTATCGGTATTAAATAATCCGTTGAGGTTGATATCTCGTAAAAATACCAAACAATATATTGTTAGAAAATTATTACCAGCAATATATTTGACTCTCGACAAATAACCTCTTTACAAAAATACGTCAATGAAACCTGATCTACAAACTGATTTCTTACAAAGAATGCATATTCTATTCATACGAACCTATCCTAAAAATCTTGTCAGCATTAAATAACCCATTGAGGTGTTGATATGCCGTGAAACAAAATAAACCAAATGAAACTATTGCCAAGGAAAATGTTCTATCGAGCTATATTGCTTAGTTTCACTAATTCAGGCCTTCACGGCTAAGACTCCCCACCCCATGTCACGTACACAGGAGCTTCTCATTCCCTTTGTATTCCATTGATAAGAAAGAAGTTCCACTTAACGTCTTCTCGAGAACCGCTACTTTGAGGATGCTTCTTCGATCACTATAATCTTAACCTTTTCAAATACAGTCAACCGTTATTCATCCTACATATCCTTATAATTTGAACTCCTCACCACCTTCTTACGTCTAGAAAACAACCTGTCAGTAACCCTCTAACTCGAGTGGCTCATGTGCCTTGTATTGGGTGAAAAATAGATATACTTTTAGATAGATGGGATGATTTTATGACGTCACCTCTTAACGGGTTATTTAATGTCGAACTCTGTGTGAGGTTTCCAGTGAGAGTCAAACTCATTTACAGTGCTGTAATCATCCACAAGGATAGTCTCGCGACCAGGCAATACCATAGATGGATCATATGAGCAACGAGGAAGTTTTAGTAGCAATGGGAGCCATAAAAGGTGGCTCACACTTACGATCACAAAAAGACCGTTGAAATTTCTGAGACACATTCCTGAAAAGGGGCTTGTAGGATTTGATACTCACGGGGCATATTGAAAGAAAGAGACACTGAGTGAAACATTGAGTAAGCTACCTAATGAGCTTGTGTAAATAGATAGCAGAACAGGGACTAGTAATGGAACAAATATTGACAAGAGCTACAATAGAAAGGAAGTTGTGGAGAGCCACGATCATTCAAGTCCTGATGGGACACGGCACATAGAAAAAGAAGAAGCCAGTATTGTTACTTTATTTTGCCATTGCAGTTGTGCGTCTATCTTCTTAATGTCATGGGTCCTTACCTATAACTACAGAATGAACTCTTCCTAACACTAGAGAGAGGGACGAATCAAGCCGAGCTTCTCGACTTGACGGTCGAACTCTCTGGCTCTGAGCAGAGAGGAACCCGGACGATGCTCCGCCGAAGGGCAGAGTCTCGTTCGGGGAGGTTGACCAACCCGATCCCATTTATATACAGGTTCTACGGGCATTTTGGCCGAGCCTACGGGCTCAGGAAACCCACGTTAAACTCGGCCTTGTGCCACATGCAACCCTCGTGGGAGGGTGGCTAGATACCGAATCGAGTCGAGCCGATAGTAGTTCACTCCAAACCAGACTGACAGTCATACTAACACCTTCCACATCTTGTATTATTATTTCGTGTAATATACCTTCGTTATTTCTACTCTTGTGTTCGTGTTGTTCTTCCTTGGTCCTAACCTGGACCATAACACTTAATGATCACCTCACAAAGCCTAGCCTCACTTAATCTATATAAATAAATGCGAATATCAATGTGTCACACACTTTCAACTTTACTCCTAAAGGCCGTAGCCCAGCATATCATACCATTTTGGAATCAGGCCGACTCCGTGAGTAAACTACAAACATTCCCGGCAGGATCCGGACCCGCAATCCTGAAATTTTGGGTTCCCAAGTTTTCATTACTGCGATTGTATTCGGCGTTCTTTTTTTACGTTATTCTTTTTACGACGGATTTTTTGTACGACAACGATTTTTGTAACTTGGAAAGAAATTTGGAAATAATTGAAATTAACTGCGAAATCCAGCGAAAGTCACCCAAGAAATAAAATAATTGTTTGTACGGAAAGTAAGGACCTACGTACATCAAACTCTTTAAATTAAATGGCGGCAAAAGAATTATCGTTGAACTTTTAAAAGGTAAGCTTAAATATTAATGCAATACTGAAATGCAGCGAGGAATTTTGAGTTCTGTAGTTTATTGTTGCCTATCGCATACCGCAGCAGTATACCTCGCAAAAAGAAATCCCCGCCAACAGAGGACCAGATTGCAGTCAAAAGAACCAAGGCTGCGGCCCGATAGGGCGGCTTTTTAAGCTTGTATATACATATATTCAAAGAGAACGGAAGGGATTTTTATAAGGACAAAAGCCAACCCGTCATGTAGGAAAAGGTTGGAACATCAGTTTCGCTGAATAGTTAGAATCCAGGGCCAACCGAAGAGAAGTATGAGAGTCAAGATATTATATACAACGTCACAAACTAATAGCAAGGTCATCTGGGATAGTATGTGGACAGGTTTTCTATTTTGGATGTGTAAAAAGAAAATTCTTGATAGTACAGAAGAATAGTGAGAAGAAGATCGTCAGTTGAAATTTTGTCTTCAAAAAAACTGACCTCCCACTACGAATTGGAGTTGCTAAAGAGTCGACATTCCGCAATTATAAGACATACAAGCGATAATGGAGGCCTAATTTCAGCTAATATGTCAACATCCGGACCCTTAGGATGTCAAGCTTGAAGGCTCGCTGTTTGTGTCAGTCTGTCTGTCATTATTTGAACTTTGTGAAACTCTATGCATCCCTCTTGTCAACACTGATAAAAAAAAAACCCAAAAACAAACAAACTAAAAAAACGGAACAAAAGCAAAGTGTCCCATAACATAGTTGATTGTCGGGATGTTATACTGGGTCATTTATGGTATTTTTGCGACAATGGCGGTTATTTAAAAATGCGTATTTTCTCTCCAAGTAATATCCGACAGATTATACTGGGTTACACAGTGCCAACAGCAGGGAGTAATTCATCATTTGAGCTGTTAAGAAAGGTGGATTCGTGTCTTTCGTAAGAGCATAAGCGAGAAATTTTAGCAAACAAAGAATACTGTTTTGGTTTTGTTTGTTAATATAAAACTATAATTAATACAGGAATTTTTATAAAATGAAAAATTAATAACGGATTGTTTTATAAATTTACAATTAATACACGGTTTTTCTTTTTATAACGCTATAATTAATATCGGATATTTTTATTTCTTTTATAAACCTATAATTAATAACAAAATTTTACAAAACAATAAATAAAGTTAAGATTTGTTTTAAAAAACTTATAATTAATACTGGAATTTTTCTGAAACAAAAATAAATACCGGATTATTTTTTGGAGACTATAATTAATACTGGATTTTTTATTATAAAGCTATAATTTATATAAATTATTTTATAAAGCTATACTTGATATTTTTATGAACCTATAATTAATACTGTGTTTTTCTCTTTATAACGCTATAATTAATATCACAATTTTTTATAAATCTATAATTAACACCGTTTTTATGAGCAAAATATCTAATATTAATATCTTTACGAACCTATAATTAATACTGTATTTTTCTTTTTATAACACTATAATTAATATCAGATTTTTTAATAAATCTATAATTAATACCGTTTTTTATGATCTCTTAATTAATATTTATATGAACCTATAATTAATACTGTTTTTTTCTTTTTATAAAGCTCTAATTAATATCAGAATGTTTTTTTTTTGTAAACCTGTAATTAATACCGTTTTTTTTCATAAACCTATAATTAATAACTAATTTTATAAAATAATAAATAATCGTGGATTTTTATAAACCTACAATTGATAACGGAATTTTCATAAAAGTAAAATATAATAACTGATAGTTTCCATAAACAATACTGGGTTGTTATTATAAAGTTATAATTAATATGAGAATTTAAAAAAAATCTATAATTAATACTGTTGATTTTTTTAAATCCTATATTTAATACTGCAATTTTTATAAAACAAAAATTAATATCTGGATTTTAAAAAAATCTATATTTAATACTGGATTTTTAATAGACGTTTGAAAAATTTCTAATTCATTTTATCATTTTTTTATTTATAAGCCTATAACTAATAATGTACTATTGTGAAACAATAATATCAGATTTTTATTTAATAAAGCTATAATTAATACCGGTCTAATTAATATCATATTTCAAATTTAATCTTTAAAATTAATATCGGATTGGATATCAAGGAGGTGTTGTCACGTGGTCTTTTGGAAAAATCGCCATTTGCTATTGGTTTGAAAACTAACCAGGATTGCAGTGATAATAATAATAATAATAATAATAATAATAATATCTCACCTGAGTTTCTGACAAACTGAGCTGTGAGGCGAGTTCTACCCTTTCAGGTGTGGACAGGTATCTCTGGGCTTCGAACCTTTTCTCAAGTCCGTTGAGTTGTTGGTCGCTGAACACCGTCCGAGCTTTCCTCCGCCGGCACTGCTTTCCACCCGACGCATCATGTTGGAACAATGGTGGCAATGGAAACCCTGGATAAGAATTCAGATATGTCGTTAGTAGATCATCTTTTATCATTTGACAATTACATTAAACAACACACACACACACACACACACACACACACACACACACACACACACATATAATTTATTCGAAAATTATAACATAAACAAGTTATAAAATCACTACAAAAATAGCCATTTTCTTTCAACACTTCTGGTGTCTTATCAAGTGATAGTGTTGAATGTAAAATAAAGAGTTTTAAAACACTCCTCAATAGGTGGCTTATGTGCAGTGTTTCCCCTATCGAGGGGTGTTTGGTTGATTTGAACCTTTTAAAACTCTTTATTCTACATTCAACACCATCACGCTTGATAAGACACCAGAAGTGTTGAAACAAAATGGCTATTTTTGTAGTGATTTTATAACATATTTGATTTATAATTTTCAAATAAATTATATTTGCTCTACTCTGTATTGAGCACTCTTTTAAGAATGGTATTTTTTGTTTATTGGAATTTATTCCGTATACACCATACTTATATATATATATATATATATATATATATATATATATATATATGTAATATATATATATATATGAATATAAATAGATATAAATATATATGTATAATTATTTATATATTATATGCGCGGTACTTATTAGAAAACGCTCAATATCAGATAGAGCTAACATATTTGGGTTTGTCTGATGATCGCTAAAGCGTGAAACCCAGGGTCACAAACTCACATCTATCCAACCAAATATATATATATATATATAAAAGGAGTAATTGATATTTTTATTTATTATTCCGACAGATTTTATTACTTAATCGTTATTTTTGTGTGGTTAACCATAAATGTGTGGACGCTCTGTATTTTTTTTTATTAAATGGTATATTTGTTTATAAGGAATTATTCAGCTTTGCTTGATATCAGCGATGCACTCCGTAGCTGGGTCGGTATAGGCATGCCAGATCGAACGAAAATTTCTCCTGTCAAGGGGGATGAACATTTGAATTATGTTGAAGAGCGCATTTTTGCTTTAATAAGATCTCTCGAATATCCATGTCCACTAAAAACGACATTTAAATAATAATAATAATAATAATATTTATGTATGTATTTAAACATTTGGTGTTAAATATAACAGACAATAAATGTATGTTATGTTTCGTGAACCGTTCTTACCTCTTATGTTTGCTTTAATTTCGAGTGAAAATAAAGACAAAAACTGTCCAACATTTGGTCATTTTTCCGTTAAGCAGGTCCTTGATCGAAGATTTCGGCTCACATGAACCATGATCTAAGATTTCGGCTCACATGAACCATCTTCCGAGTGGTTATACGGACATTTAAACAAAGATATTCGCCATCAAAATGACATTCTGTTATTATGATATATATATATATATATATATATATTAGAAAGGCCTCAATATATATATATATATATATATATATATATATATATATATATATATATATATATATATATATATATATATATATATATATATATATATATATATATATATATTCAAGCCTTCCTAATGAAAAATCCAGCTTAGGTGGGAGGGACATCTGTCTTGTATAAGCGATAGCAGACTTCAAAACAACTCATCTTGGGTCAACTTCTAACAAGCAAGTTGATTGAAAGACCCACTCTCGTGGTACAAAGACAAACTCAAAGACAATTTGAAGTGATGCATCATCCTCTTTTCTTCCAGGGAAAACAAAGCATCAGCGCAAAGGATATATATATATATATATATATATATATATATATATATATATATATATATATATATATATATATATATATATATATGTGAGAGAAATCATCTTTAAGCTAGGCTTACTTTAGGTTACGAGAAACCATTAGAATAAATCAAACCTTAATTGTATTATATTATTTTAGAAATGCAGATCTATCGCTGGTACCTTCCAAAGTCTGTATTTACTAACTTATTTTCCAGTCCCAAACGTTAATAAAATAAATTTTCAGCAATTAATACATTTTTTTTTAATGCGACACTATTACTTACTACTAAACACGGAAACAAGTATAGTAAGAAAAAGAAAGAAAGGGAAAAGAAAAAAAGAAAAAGAAATTAAAATAAGAAAGAAAGAAAGAAAGAAAGAAAGAAAGAGAGAGAAAAGGAGAGAAAGAACGTAAGAAAGAGAAAAGGAAAGAAAGACCATCCGCACGCTTGCATTGATCATTCGACGTTCATAGACACGTGGATGCACATAAATGGTTTCATTTTTTCTTTTAATTTCTGTTTCTAAATTATATTTCGTTTTCTTATTACTGTACCCGTCAATCGCTGAATGAAAGAAAGGAGCGCTTCTTTGAGTAGTTTTATCTTCTTTAATTAGACTTTCAATCTCTAGGCCGGTAGATTTTAAAATCACTGTCTCTTAAGCCTGGAACATACATTTGGCAAAAATTCTTCTGTTAGATATTTTATTTTTTTAAGAAAAAATTGTTTGTGTTTTAGATCTAGATCAAAGGATATCTAATTTAATTTAATGTAGTTTAAAAAAATATTATGTGTGCTTCGAGAATATGAAATGGTAGCCATGGACAATTTTGCATATTCTGGAACTAAGAATTGGTTCCCTTATATCAGTGTATACAATTTTTTTCTCAACCAGCGTCCCCTTTGGACACAAACTCTTGTCAAGCACCCCCCACCGTCAAATTAAATTTTTAATATTATACTAAATTCATTTTTCATAGCAAGATAACTCTTCGGTATTAATACAAAAATAATTTTAATATTGTTTTCATTTCTATTATAAATGCCAATGATTGAAATGCTAAAACAAACACCTTTTATTTGATAGCTTATCTCATTGCTTTCATTGTGATGGTTGACTTTGGGAAATAGGAGAAGCAATGAAGAAAAGTTTGATAGCTTCCCATAGGTTTAGATACTTTACAGAAACTTCCTTTTTTGCAGAATATATATATATATATATATATATATATATATATATATATATATATATATATATATATATATATAAAAAGTGAACATAGAAGTCAACAGAGGCGGCAGTCTGTTTCATGCTATATGCAATCGTCAGGCCATATATCTATCTATCTATCTATCTATCTATCTATCTATCTATCTATCTATATATATATATATATATATATATATATAATTTAGTATATATATATATATAATTTAGTATATATATATATATGTTTCATATATATATATATATATATATATATATATATATTATATATTTCATGCTATATGCAATCGTCAGGCCATATATATATATATATATATATAATATGATATATTTCACACGAAAGTCACCTATGTCCTGAGGGGGCACGACCCATAAAGAAGGATATGGTTAGTGAAAACAAGCATAAAAACTACCTTTTAGATCAGTTTCCCAACCTTTTTTCAACCAGCACCCTCTTTGTGTACAAACTTTTGTCAACGCCTCCCCCCCGTCAAATTAAATTTCTAATATTATACTGAATTCATCTTTCACAGCAAGATAACACTTTTTTAAATAGTGATTTCATTTCTATTATAAATGCCAATGATTGAAATGCTGAAAAAAAAAACACCTTTTATTTGATATCTTATCTCATTGCCTTCATTGCGATGGTTGATTTTGGTGCTTAATGGCTAAGGTTCTCACTCTAGGTTCCATGCTGCTTAGAAATAATCGTAGATCTCCTCGTTTTGTAATTTGTAGACGGTTTCTTTGTTCAGTAAGAAGCTGTGTAGCTGTGTTGAAAGCACATTCAGCCATATAGGAAGATGGAGAAGCAATGAAGAAAAGTTTGATAGCTTCCCAATAGATACCTTTCAAATTTTGAAAATTTGAACAAAAATGGATAAATGCCACCTCCACCCTGAATATGTTCACCCCATCCAGATAAAATAAAAACTCCCAGTGCCCCTTTTCAACATAACAGAGCCCACAAGGGGGTGCTTGCGCCGACGTTGGGAAACACTGCCTTATACGAAAACGAGAAACTACAGAAAAAAATAATCAGATATTCCTTGTCTGTTGTATTCAATATATATATATATATATATATATATATATATATATATATATATATATATATATATATATATATATATATATATAAAACAAATTAAAAAGAAACAAAGGAAAGGCGAGGTAATGCTTTTGGCTCCGACATCCCGTTTGAACTCTAATTAGTGAGTATCAAAAGAAATTTGGCCGTGGGTAATGCAACCGTTATTTACAAAATCACGTGACTTTACTGGCTAAAACTGACCGGCGGTCCCACTTTCGTGCTTCGTCTCGATCAATTATGGTCTAAACTTTGTTCCCGCGGCCACCAATATACCCCGACCATCCACACGCTTTCATCGATCAGTCGACGTTCATGGACACGTGGACGCACCTAAATGGTTGTTTCATTTTTTTCTTCTTCTTTAACTTCTGTTTCTAATTTCTCTTCCGTTTTCTTATTACTCTACCCGCCAACCACTGATCATTCAATTTTGACACACATGCCGGCATAATTACTTTCACACAAGCGCGCATGCGCTTGTGCTCGTATATACCAGAGCAGAAACAATTACGTGTGTATAGGCGTAGTAAGAAAAAGAAAGTAAGGGAAAAGAAAAACAGAAAGAAAGAGAACAGGAAAGAAAGAAAGAAAGGGAAACGAAGTAAGAAAAGGAAAGAAAAAGAAAGAAATAGAAAACGATTGAAAGAACGAAAGAATGGGAAAAGGAAAGAATGAAAAAGAAAGGAAGTAAGAAAGAGAAAAGAAAACAAAGAGTAAAAGAAAGAAAGAGAAAAAGAAAGAAAGAAAGACAAAGAGAAGAATGAAAGTAATAGAAAAGCGAAGAAAGAACGAAAGAAAGAAAGAAAGAGAAAAAAGAAAGAAAGACAAAGAGAACAATGAAAGAAAGAAAAAGAGGAAAAAAGAAAGAGAAAACAAAGAAAGAAAGACGGAAAGAAAAAACGAAAGACAAGAATGAAAGTAAGAGAAGAATGGCGAGAAAAAAAAGAGAAAATTACTGGAAAGCGAAGAAAGAGGAGAAGACAGACACGGAGAAGGATAGAAAGAAAAATACACACACACACACACATACAAAGACAGAAAGAAAGAAAGAAAGAAAGAAAGAAAGAAAGAAAGAAAGAAAGAAAGAAAGAAAGAAGGAAACGTAAAGAAAGCCGAGGAAACGAGAGAAGGAAAGAAAAAAAACAAAAGTAATTGGGAAAAGAGAGAGGAAACAATATAAAAAGAAAAAGAGAGAAAAGGGAAAACGAATAAATGAGAATGAAAGATAGAAAGTAAGAACAATGATGAACGAAGTGGGTAACTAGACAATAAATTTAAATTATAAACAAAACGCTAATGTGTATAAAATATTTATGTTAAAAACACCGACATTCCAAACCCTACACATCACACACTCAACACTGAACACCTCACACTAGATGTATACATAGCCAGACAAAATCTAGAAGCTGACTCTTATTAAAAAAAAAAAGAAAAAGGATTTTCCCTACGGAACAATAAACTGTAAAGATATCTTTGTCTTTAGCAATAGCTTCTCGAAATAATTCATAATTCATAAACAATTTTTTGCATTCAATTTAACCTGTGTATTGTAATATATTAAATATTGTTACTTCAATATTGCATAAATAAAACATCTTGCTCGGAAGAATCCGTTACAAGTAACTTTGTCACGTATGCAAATAGATCGATCTTTGGAACGCCGGTAAAATCCAAGATTCCAAGGCTGACTTTTCAAAGCACGGCACGCTATCCCCATTAACAAAACTGGCGTAACACAATCTTTACCCATCACTTTCTATCAATTCAGCCTTGTGCCGTACTGAGACGTAGATGTAATCGGCAGATGTTATTATTCCTTGAACATCGTAGATTTTACAGATACATGATTGTACAAAGTGTTCGAAGAATGTGGAATCACAAGCTGTCAATTGTGAAGAGCTTGTCAACCTTGAAGATCAAAATCTAACAGAATTTATTTCCCAGATTGGGGATGTGAGGATGGTGTAATGGATAGCGGTTCGGGAAGAGAAATTCACTTCCGGCCAAATAACCCTTCTCTTTCCCATATCTATGGGTTAAATAGTAGAATAGACCGGGTTATTTAGGACTAGTTGGCAACCAGTCTAGGATAAAACTAAAAAAATTCGGGTATATGAAACTCGTTAGCGTGAGTACACGTGGTCATCAAAAAAGAAAAAAATAACAGAAAATTATCTCAGTGTCTGTCTCATTTATGAGATGAGGTATTATGTACACTATTTACATTAATCGGACTATTGTCCTCATCTTTTTTGCCATATGCATCACAACGTTTCGGCCGTTGTACGCTCCGGCCTTCTTCAGGCGGTTGGAATGCCGAACTGAACCCTTTATTTCGCTAACTGACATCCATTAGACATGGCATGTGGAACTGGAACAGTCTACTCCAGCGATCGAAATAAAGGGTTCAGTTCGACATTTCAACCACCTGAAGAAAGCCGGAGTGTACAACGGCCGAAACGTTGTAATAAATATGGCGGCAAAGATGAGGACAATAGTCCGAATAATGTAAATAGTGTTCTTATTTGTTCTATTACTGTTTCCTTAGATATGAAAACTCTACTGTGTGTGAACAAACAACTGATCCAAATCTAAGTAGAATATAATGAATTATGCTAAATTAGAACTCCAAAAATATATAGCACATGAACTGTAAATGTTCTTATTGTGGGCTACATCTTTATAGTGCGACACACCTCTGAAACCCGCTTCACCAGATAATAAATAAAAAGGAACATTATAAAGAAAAAGGACAATAGTCAGAATAATGTAAATAGAGAAAAGTCATCTCTTCTTCTGAGTAAAGAGGTTTGGCGTGGGCCTAATCATCCCACACCGTGGAACGATTCGATTAGAAAAACCTCAACAAGAGGTCTTAAGTACCACAAGACATCAAGCAGATAGCAATAATTTAATAAAATTAACTTAGTTTGGCACAAGAACGCAATTATGAGCACACGTTTGAGAAACGTAGTAAGGATCAATAGTAGTAGTAATAGGAATCAAAACCTTTTCTATTATTGTCATACCAGATATGGCAACATTATTCAATACGTGAACGAATGGTAGATTTGTAAATGTGCAAGATATATTGTGACGAATAAAATCTTTTGCCACGGCACAGTGAATCAACTTTCCTTAAATCAAAAGTAGACCGTTGTTTGAAATTGTCTTGAAAACTATCAAAATCACTCAAAATCTCGTATTTTTTTTTACAAACTCTTTGGCCTTACTAATTTTTTTCACAACGTAACAAAATAATCGCTCGTCAGATGTAGCATCTAACAATAGGTCCGTCTGAAGTCACAGCTTGCGTTTGACTTGTATTATAGGGCGAGAGAATTTCGCATATCGTCAGTTTCACTCTCTTATCTGCCTGGACCCAGAGGCAGAATATCGCCAAAACATCGAGAAACAAACATCTGGAAACAAACCAAATACACTGGATGACGAGATCGTTCTACGTCACATGCCGTGCCCTTCACACTCCAAAACGCGTTGCTGGTTGCCTATAGCAGAAATTCCACACTCTGGTCTGGGATCAGAATAATTCGTCCAAGAGTAAAGAGCTCATTTTCTTCAGCTATTTCACCATAGTTGGCGGGAGAAAAGATGATTCCCCCCCCAGGGGTAGAGGGTCTTTAATACAAAATGAACATAAATTTGTCTCAATTTGTCGGTGCAGATGGCTTAACAGTTAATAACACGGAAAATGCAATCGGTAAAGCTGGTTCAATGTATATACCGCGACTCGATTTTGAGCAAAGCCATCGCTTGATCCATCGTCAAATTTGTACGGATGTAACCTTTTGGTCCTGTTAGGGTCTTACATTCTCTCGAATAGATATGGCAACGTTGGGATTCTTTTGAGGTAGTTGTTATATAAATGCTACATAATGTGCAATGAATGACTATGTATGGTGCCTGTAATGATTTTTGAGGCATGCTCTATTTAGATAGGCCCGACCACATTCATTACAGGTTCGATCAAATGCTGTGGGGACATTTTCAGGAATTTAACCTCACGAATCTTATGAGTATCACTCTTGAGGTTTTCATACACAAAACAATTCTATTCAAAGTTTCTCTTACGATTGAGCACTCCTTTCTTCCAGGAGAACCGACCGAGAGCTGGGTTTACAGGACATATATATATATATATATATATATATATATATATATATATATATATATATATATATAAAAAAAATACATAGAAGAAATTATAGAAAGAAATTATCCACAACTTTGATTTGAAGAAGGCTATAGTTATTAAAAGAGACAGACAGACAGAGAGATATAGATTTCTCTCAAATTGTCAGTGTAAATGGCTTATAAGACGCAAAAGGTGTGAAGTGCACTCCCCCAGGACGAAAGATCTATAGCTAGGTTTTCTCCAGTCATTGCGCACGATGTTAGCACACACACACACACACATATATGTATATGTAGTAATCCGTTAGTATATATTTCCTCCCCATTTTTTGTTCTTTTTTATTTAAAAAAGTTTATCATCCATTGACTGTTTGAAAAATCCTGTAAATTTAATTTTACGAGGTGAAAATGACAATTTACATAATGGTATCTTAATTCCAATTGTATGATATATATATATATATATATATATATATATATATATATATATATATATATATATATATATATATATCATACAATCGGAATTAATATATATATATATATATAAATATATATATATATATATATATATATATATATATATATATATATATATATATATATATATCCAATAAAAAATCAAGGTAGGTACAAGACAGAGCATGAATATAATATGAAAGGCTCAAACACGAGTATTTTATGTTTATAATTTATTACATTCTAATCGTATTCACGATCCAATTCAAAGAACGGTTGATCGGAGACCCCCAAAGTCCAAGTTACAAACACGAATCAGACAATGCTCTGACTATTGCTTTTAAGCATGAATCAGCCAGTCACTACATATACATACATACATACATATATACATATATATATATATATATATATATATATATATATATATATATATATATATCCTACTACTACAATCATTATTTTAGTGGATACTTTTGTTTGAGTTGATGCCCTGTTTAAATGACATAGTATGAATTATATCTGCCAGCTTATGCGTTATTATGCCAAAGTTACAGCTTGAATAAGTTTCTTGAATGGGTATTATGTGCCAGTTGTGAAAATTAGCAACATAATTCTGGCGTGTAGTTCAATTTAATAAGTAATGATTGATGTAGAAGAAAAATCGACTACAGGCTAACGTGTAAGTAAGTAAAAAAATGAAAGAAGATTTGAGTGATAGATATATAATCTGAAGTCGATTGATCGATATATGTATCCCTGTGTGTTTGTGTGTGTAAAAATTCAGATGTAAATGAAAATATGTTCTGGTAATTTACCGACGCACGCATGGACTCTTCCAGATATAAATAGGAGCAGGTACTGCCTTTTGGAGAGTGAAGTTTTCAGCAGTCAGCTCTGAGAGTCGAACCGAACTTGCTTTAACTCTCGCGCTTGTATATGTTCGTATTACTGTTTTCTGTTAATATATTTGTTTAATTCAATTCCTCTCTTGTGTCTTTAATTCTGGCCCTAACAAGTCTACAACAAAATATATCTTAAAAGATGCAAATAAAAACAATCGAGAAATTTTTTTTTTTACTTATATTTCATCCTTTGATGTCACATTTGTCTTGGTAAAGTCCATCAGAGGACGAAACAAGTCGATGAAGAAAACTTTTCATTTTATCTTATTTCATATATTTTTTGTTTTTTGTCGACATCATCAATTTTTGTCGGTTTTTTGTCGACATCATCAGATTCATGGTTTGAATTATTAGCTAAAAACAAGCATACAATATAATAACTTTTATAATTCATAGCCCAAATAAATAGTTTAAATACGCTACAAAAAAGATAACCCTTTATGAAGTCGTCAAAAAACAAACGTTACGGCAAATTTTTTTATATGCACAAATCCCTTTCATAAAAAAATAAAATAAAATAAATAACTAAATCTCCATAGACACGCAAACCAGACTAGAGTTATACTTCTTCCGTTCAAAATGTAGACACCCCTACCTTTCCCTGACTTGACATCTAGGAAAGTTACTCTATACTGATACTTATTAATAACACCCAACAAACGCCTACCCAATTTAAACAATTCGCCCGAGCTGTTACCATGGAAATTTTGATTTCAATTATTAAAACACGTAAATTTCAGAAATACGTTATTCCCAAAAAAATTTCGCTTGATGATGGAACAGAGCTTACTTTAACTCAATTTAATTCAAATAATTATATTGAATTTTCGGCTCTTGTTTTGAAACATGGGACCTCTTATGTCGCGAGTTGGAATCATATTTTTAAATAAATAATTATATATATATATATATATATATATATATATATATATTTCTCATATTTCATCGGGTCTAGAACAAGAATCCTCAACAGAATGCAGAAAGCACTGAACGGCTGTTTCGTCTTTTTTTTGGGACCCATTAGCAGTGCGCATACACACACACACACACACACACACACACACACACACATATATATATATATATATAGAGAGAGAGAGATAGATAGATAGATAGATAGATAGATAAAACAAATTGAGAAGTGAAAGATTCGTAAATGACTATATATATATATATATATATATATATATATATATATATATATATATAAAACACATATATAATAATTTTTTAAATAAATGTTTTTTTTATAGAATTATTAGGATCAATATTAAAATGCCAAAATGTATTTTTTTTTAATTTCTTGCACAGACATTTTTAAAAATTATATATTTTAGTTAGAGTAAAGAAATAATTTTAGCATCTAAGTTATATCAAAAGTATATTTTGTTAAAGACTGAAATGAGCCCGACAAATATGACTGAGAGTCGCGACTGAGATAGAGAGATGAATTGATAGCGGCCAAGAGAGAGGAGGATAAATGAGTATTGAATGAATTCATATATATATATATATATAAATTTGAACATAGATTAATACATAGAAATATTGATAATGAAGAGATTGAAATAGGGAGATAGACAGAAGCAGAGATGGGTACTGAATAAATACATAGATATGTAGATAAATTTGAACATATTCAGGATGCGATGGATAAATTGTCGCAAAAATGAAAATCACACTGACATCATATTTTAACAAATTTACCAAAATTACACCAAAATATCTTGAAATACTAAAGAATAATTTTATTCAATAAAATCGCCATGGGCTTCAACCACGGCCTCCAGACGATTCCGCAATCTCCTACAACTCTTCTGGGCGTTTTCTTTGTCAAAATTGTTGAATACTGCCATAATTCTTGCCTTTAGTTTTGCTAGATGTCTTTTTGGTCTCTCGCACAACTGCGCCCGACACATAATAATTAAGTGGGTTGCAGTCTAGGGAGTTAGGTAGCCAGATGTAATGGATGATGTGGTCGCAGAAATTGTCTGACAGCCGTGACTGGGTCTCCCGCTTGTGCAACACGGTGCAATGTCCTGGTGCCAGACACAGGGTCTTCCAGAAACCACCCAGAGCAACACTACCTCCTCAAGGAACTTGATGTAGGCCTCCGTGTTGACACTGATGTCATGTGGGAAGATGAACGCAAGCATAACGTCGCCGTCACTAGTGATCTCTCCTTCGTAATCGCCATTAGATTCATCCAACTCTTTTCGAATCCGCTACACTGTACTCAGATTGACACCCAGCCACTCTGAAATATTTGTACTGGAGCTTCCGGCGCGAATGCCAAGCAGTACAGAATACCTTTTCCAAATCTCTAGCTGAGTGAAGTGCGTCATGATGCCCTTTTTTTTTTACAGACGATATCCAAATGACCCTACTATACTGTGCAGTCGACAAAATAAAAAACGCGCATGCGCGAAATTAAAATATAAATGGGCGACAATTTACACATCGCGCCTTCTAAATAGATAGAAACGTAGACAGACATAGATAGATAGATAGATAGATAGATAGATAGATATAGATAGATAGATAGATAGATGATTAGACTGGCATAGATAGAGAGGAACATACTGAGATAGATATATATTGAATTGAGAATAGATAGATAGATAGATAGATAGATAGATAGATAGATATGAACATACTGAGATAGATGGATAGATAGTTAGATAGGAACAGAATGAGATATATACTGAATGAGATAGATAGGAACATACTTAGATAGATAGATAGATATTGAATTGAAAATAGATAGATGGATACAAACATACTGAGATAGATAGGAACAAAATGAGATAGATAAATAGATAGATAGATAGATAGATAGATAGATAGATAGATATAGATAGATACATGATGAATAGATACATACTTAAATAGATATATATTTATATATATATATATATATATATATATATATATATATATATATATATATATATATATATATATATATAAATAGATAGACAGATAGATAGATATGAACAAACTGAGATAGGTAGATAGATAGTTAGGTAGGAACAGAATGAGATAGATACTGAATCAGATAGATAGATAGGAACATACTGAGATAGATAGATAGATATTGAAGTGAAAATAGATAGATGGATACAAACATACTGAGATAGATAGGAACAAAATGAGATAGATAGATAGATTAGAAAGAAAGAAAGAAAGAAAAGATAGATATGTATCAAACTGAATAGATTATTCAGTAGACAAAAATCTAAGTAAACTATTTTAGCAGGAAAGTTATGACAGGCGAGTAGATAAATACATCGATGTGTGATTGAATCAGTGTTTGTGTGTGCGTGTGTAAAATGGGGATCGTATGAGCGAAACTAAATCTTACTGTATTCACTATGTTCTGAAGAGAATACACATAATAGGCGCAAGCGTTAATAGCCTTCCGCTCACATTAAATGCAACAACAACGGCGCTGCCATCTTCACTATTACCACCAACTGTGCCTAAAAACATTCACTTTGTAAGCGTCGTTAGTATTACATGCTGCCTGAAGATACGGACCGAAGGCGCATGCCGGGACCCATCGAAGGGCAGCATGTGTCGGACGGACTGTATTGTGCCTGTGTCTTAATAGGCCGACTATAGAAATCGGATAATCTTTTCAGAATCTCTATGTTTGGCCATTGAACACCTTATTATGTTATTATGTTTCAATAAATGGATGTTGTTGTAAAAGGACGAGGAAAAGAAAAAAAAGGAAAGAGTTAGGGAGAGAAAGAGAGGAAGAAGAAAAGGTTGGGAGGAAGTTTGGTAACGGCGTGAATGAAAAGTAAACGAGAACAAAGAGATAGAGAGAGAAAAAATAAAAAGAAAGAAAAAAAAAGAATGAAATGAGTGGTAAAGAAATAGACAAAGTAAGAAGAATATTAAGAGAGAAAAATGGAGAAGTGTAGCAATTAAGAAAGAAAGAATAAAAGAAATGAAGGAAGGAAGGAAAAAGAAGGAAAAAGAAGAAAAGGAAAAAAAAACCCTAAAAAGTGGAGGAAAGACTATGCAAATCTAAAGAGACCCAAAAAGAAAAGGAAATAATGAAATATCCAAAGAAGGAAAAGAAGCATAAAAAGAAAAAAAAAAGAAAGAAAATGAGATAGAAAGGAAAAGAAAGAGAAATAAGCAAAGAAGGAAAGAAAGAAAAAAAAAGGAAGAAATCGAGAAAAAAGAAGGCGGAATAAATAAAAAAATAAAGAAAGAAGAGAGAAAAAGATAAAAAGGAAAAAAGAAAGCAAAAACGAAAAAGAATGAAAAAAAATGACAGATAATACAAAAAAAAAAAGAAGAAAAAAAGCAAGAACAGAAAAACTGAGATAAAAATAAAGTTAAAATAAATAAATTAAAAGAAAGTAGATAAGTGTTCGGTTTTGTCCGAAATTGAAGAAGTGCATTCGATATCAAAAGGCCAAATGAGTTTTCTGGGATGATAACCTGATTTCGTTTGATGTTTCTGCTTCTCATCCGCATCCAGATGTTCGCTAATTCTTACAAAAAAATACATTTTTCCATTACAAGCGTTGAATCGATGCCAAAAAGGATAAATGTCAAACTAGAGAACATTAAATAAAATGTTTCTGTATGGAATATGACGGGTGATTTTAGTCGAGTTCTTTTCTGATTTTTACATATAATTTCAGAACAATAAGACCGCCAGATTAAAAGTAGTCATAACATAATGGCTGAAAATGATTAATGTATAAATATTTTAATATAACATACTCACACGTATTAGAAAACTACTAATCACCTCCTCAAGCGTCGTTGCTGGCGATATAAAAAAAAAATATTCGAAATCAAGTTTGTGGTCAAGGTTTCGACTCGGATGAGTCATCGTCAGTAGTTAGAAAAAGCAAAGTGAAAAAAAAGAAAACTAAGTAGTTCGTTTATTTTTTTTTAAGAGACAAATTTTGTTTGAAATTGAACCCGATAAATCAAGACGCGGTACGTCAATGTCAGCAACGTGTAATGGCTAATTTTTGCATCAGTAGCAACTCGGTTTGTGGAAGGTGATTCGCTGCTTGGAAAATATTATGGATAACATTGGTAGGCATAGAATGTCCATTACTTTTTAATAAAAATTCTGTAGGTTGCTTTTCTACGCAAAAATACTATGAAAGGCTGGTTCGGAAAAAAAAAATCTGTGTCAAAGAGAGACGGATAGCCAAATACACAAATAAAGGAACAGTCCAACATTCAAATCACAAATACCAAAATCAAACAAATCCAAAAATTGAAATATCTGTGAAATGTTTTAACAGGGGACGGAAACCGCGAAACTGGAATCCGAAGGCGCATTGGGATAGCGAAAGAAGCCTTCCAGAATCTAAGCATTAAGTATTAAGAAACAGGAAAATTTCGTTAGAAACAAAGAAAAGAGCACTGAACTGTTACGTAATATCAGCCCTCCTGTATGTCAGGGGATGTTGTACAATCTCATCACAGATGAAGAAGAGACTTGATGCAACAGAAATGTGATTATTCAGAAGGATGCTGAGAATACTATGGACTGAGTATGGGGATTTTTTAAGTGTAGCTTAGATGTGGCACAAGACCGAAAGTATGGTGTACCAGTGAGGAACGAACTCACTACTCAGTCGTAATTGTTCCAGCGAGAATAGCTTGATAACCACTACACTACGTCGAGGTGCCCACTATGGACCGAATATATGAGCAACGGCGAAGTTTTAAAGAAAATGGAAACAAAAAGGACACTTTATTTAACACCGGTAAGAGACCGTTCAAAATCTCTAGGGCACATAATGAGGAAAGAGGGCTTGGAAAATTTAGTACTCACAGGACACATTTAAAGCAATAGGGACAAAGAATGCAGCGAATAATAAGTGAGCGTGAGTAAATGGATGGCGGAAGAAGGTTTAGGTGTGATAGCAAAAAGACAAACTTTATTAATATCTACAAAGGATTGGAAATTGTGGAGAGCCATGATCGCCAACGTTCCGAAGGGACAAGGCGCATTGAAGAAGGTCAATGGATACGCCCGTAGATTATAAAAACAAACTTATTTATTTTACCAAATAAATAATTATTTTTCAACGCAATCTCTTTCTTTATCAATGAACTTAATTCAGTGGTTAATTTAATGGCGTAGCTGAAACGTAAAATGGAGAAGAAATCATATCAGAATTCAGCTTATATCAACGTGACAGGCTTGAGACTTATTTATACGTCTTCCTCTGTTTTCCCTTTTAAATTTAATTAACAACGCGGTTAGAGGTTGATCAGACAAAAAAAATCTAGTGACAATTATCTGAAATGAATATTATTAATAACATTGAGGAAAAAAATGTCGGATAATGCTGTATAAACCGTTTATTTATAATATGCTCACAACGGTGTTGAGATGTTGTCAAAATTGAGCTTTCAATTCACAGTTGTTTTGTATTTTATTTCAAATCCAATCATCAGGAAATAATTTCTTGAGTCTCACACAAAAATTATGGCGCATGCGCTTTACGTAAAACAAACGATATTAATGATATTTCAAAATTATTAGGCATCTGCCTTCTCTTTCATCCTGTTTTGACATAATCAAAACATTATACATGCACACACACATACATATATATAATGATTGATGCTTGATAACACACACATACATACACACACTCACACACATACACATATAAATATATAAAAGTAGACATCGTGCGTTGACAGTCTGTTTCATGCATAAACGCAATCTGCAGGCCATGTCTGTTGTGCATATTTAGACACGCTCTGTCAAAGATATGGAGCACTTTAACCCATAGATATAGCATAACTTAAAACTATATTTTTATCATATATATATATATATATATATATATATATATATATATATATCACTCCATTTTTGTATATAATCTGGGTGGATCACTAGTAACAAAACAAATAATTATTTTATAACATAAAAAAAAATAATTATTGATCCACAGTATTGAGCACTCTTTTAAGAATAGTTTTTGGTTATTGGAATTCATTCCGTTTTATACTTTTATATATATATATATATATATATATATATATATATATATATATATATCAGTTATATATATATAATTATAAAACTATCCATATTTTAACAGAGCAAATAATATATATATATATATATATATATATATATATATATATAAATATATATATATATATATAAATAAATATTGAACAATAAAAAATATTAAAAAATTAAAATCTTCAGGCACAGTGGATTGTAGATTATTATTCTTTCGTTTTTATTATTATTATTTCATTTAGATTCCACGACTAGTTTCGGCCAACATGGTCATCATCGAGAGAAGAAATATCTCTGCTTGCTGGTAGCAGTGAACTGCAGAAAAACATATATACAGAATATATATATATATATATATATATATATATATATATATATATATATATGAATGAATGAGATAACGATATATATTTTATATTTTCTATATTTTTATATATCAAGAACAGTATTGGTGACTAGTATGACAAAGTGGAAAAAGTTTACTTGTGTCGCTTTTCGTCCTTCAGTGCTTCATGCTTTTTTGTCATTTTGGTAGGACTGCACATGCGCACGGCAGAGGGATGCTGGGAATTTTATAATTTTTGTGATTTTTTTTTTACAGCTGAATTCATTTAGAGTCTTTTTCTTTCTTTCCTTCACTTTTGGAAGTAGGTATTCCACATTGTGATATTAGAAGAACTGCTAGGAATGGTGAATTGTTATAGGAGCCAGTGCGCAAATTTACTTTAGATGATTTTGCGATTATGCCAATCTCTTGACATTTAACGTCATTGGGAATTATTTACTCCTTTGAATATAGTAGCATTTTTTTATGTCAAAGTCGTGGTCAGTCTCGTTATGATGGGCAACCAACGCATTTGATATATTATTTTGTAAAATCTCTCTTTTGTGTTCATATAATCATTTATTTAGATTCCTTGAGGTATTTCTTATGGATTTTTGTGACGCTTATTACAGGCGATGGCATAAACTCCTTCAGGTTTAAGTTTATGGTTTTGTTTCGTATTGACTTAGTCTTTTATAGTGTTGGATGTAGTAGTAACGACTTTTATAATGAGTTTAGATAGATTCATTTCTATTGTAGATATGACAGAATTAGTAGGCAGGGTAATATATTTTTGTGATTTATTCTGGCCCTCAAAAATCATAAAATGTACGTATATATATATATATATATATATATATATATATATATATATATATATATATATAAATAAAATAAATGAAAAACCATTTCATCGAAATTAGATTTGATTACGCGTTTCGCCATTTCAAGACTTCATCAGATAATAACAAAAACAAAAAGAAAGAAATATGTGTATATGCTCAAATCATTAGTTCTTTTTCCGAAAACATTTCTTTCATTTTTTTTTATCTGGTGAAACCTTGAAAAGGCGTAATCAGATCTAGTTTGAATACAACGGTTTTCCATTTGGCATGTTACTTAAAACCTTGTGTCGATTCTGTATCCTATTTTACACACACACACACACACGCACACACACACACACACACACACACACACACACACACACATATATATATATATATATATATATATATATATATATATATATATATATATATATATATATATATATTTTCCCGTTCTATTTAGCCTATTGTGCACTCTACGTTTTAGTCTTACTACTCGCTTGGTTTTTTTTTTGGACTAAAGACTTAAGGCACTGGACGGTTTCTTCTCATACCGATTTGTTTTAACAAGTGCTATCCGAGTTTTTTTCCAAACGAGTATTACTATATATATATATATATATATATATATATATATATATATATATATATATATATATAGAAGATACACCGCTTTACGCAGTTTAAAGCTGAACAAAAAGCCATGCAAAACTATAGAACCAATGAAAGCTCTGAAATGATAAAGCCAATATGCAAATATCTAAGTAGGATTCGTCCATCTTATTACCATAATTATGAGTGTAAGTTGCCTTTGCAGAAAGTTGCCTTTCTGTAATAATAAAGACCACTTTTTGGGAAAGAAAAATTATAACTTAAGAAAATATTTGAAAGGTGAAGTTTTCTGGTTGTCCAGTATTTTTGCATGACTTTTGTTCATCATCATTTTACTTAAGATGCACTCTCAGCCAGTATACAATGATTGAACATTAGTCTGCTTTGCTAGTTTTACACTAAAATCGTGGCTAACATTTCAGCTATAACAAAGATGAAGGTTGTGACTTTGAAGTGGGAGATAACTCATCGAGTGATAACTAGGTGACTCAGAATTTTCATCAAGAATTCTAAAGACGTTTACAACTACTGGTAAATGCAAACCGGATTACCACAAAAAGTTAGACAAGAGAGATGAAAGAAAGTTTAGGAGTGTGTTAGTAGGCAATCCAAAATTAACAGCGAGACAAAAAGGGAGTGAATGAAGTCGTAATAGTGAAAATTTAGTTAATACAGTAAGCGGTGTATTACGAACAAACCCCAACTTGAACGCGCGTATAACAAGAAAAAAATTAAACATCGGAATAGAAGATTGCTAAATTTGCTGTAGGATAAACCAAGTTTGGGGGCTGCATCAAAAGCGATGGTAGAAGAAAATTAATAAAAGTCGATGGAATCTTATGGAACAGTGAAAACTATATTAGTGTACAGTGGTCTAATCTACGAAGATGGAGACATTTTCGGTTCGCCTTGCTACACATCACAAGTTACAAAAAAGGTTTCTTGTGGACGAATATTTTCAACTTTTGGAAGACTGGTCAGCAAAACAGTCCTTGTAGCGGGAACTGAAGAAACAAGTACTCTAGCAGAGACCACGCCATCTCCAAGAGCTTTGAGGTTACCTCCAGGAATAATACGAAAAAAAAATTCCTCATGAGAAAATTTGCTCCATTCCATGCCACATCTAATTGCACATATTATTCAAGCCAAAGGCTAAAACATTAATTACTAACTCTGTACTTTAATGTTGTGTAATTTTTGTAATAATAAAGATCACATTTTTAGAAAGAAATAACTTAAGAAAATAGCTGAAAAGTGAAAATTTCTGGTGGCCCAGTATTTTTGCATGACTTTTGTTCAGCCACACTATGCTTAAGAATGCTCTATCAGCCAACATACAGCGTTAACGTAAATGCAGTAACTTGTTTTCTGGCTCTATTTATTCAATCATTAAACTCAATGTCCTGTTTTTCAATCATCATGAGCCTATATATATATATATATCTTGAAAGATAATTATGTAGCGTTCTTTGTGTGTGTGCTTTTTATATATTTTTTTAAATAAATCGTTAAAGTGGTCATTTTAAAAGTATCGCCCAAAGAGACCGTTAGGTCGAAACTATGGTCGCGTATTTTAATTGACCTCCTGATTATTAAAGTTAAAATCTCTACATGTTATTTTATATTTTTACATATTTGAACACTTTTTTAATTTTACTGTTTCTTGGTCTGATTCAACTCTGACCATTAGCAACTTTATATATATATATATATATATATATATATATATATATATATATATATATATATATATATATATATGTGTGTGTGTGTGTGTGTGTGTGTGTGTGTGTGTGTGTGTCTGTGTGTGTGTGTGTATCTGTGTGTGTACGTGAGTGTGTGTGAGAGAGAGAGTAAGAACGAGACAGAGTGAGTGAGTAAGCGAGTGAAAGAGATATATGGGGAGATAGAGATGTTTTAAATGCATTTAAATAACATGTGTTATATATATATATATATATATATATATATATATATATATATATATATTTTTGTGTGTGTCTGAGAGAGAGAGAGAGAGAAAAAGAGCGAGACAGAGCGAGACAGAGTGAGTGAGTAAGCGAGTGAAAGAGATATATGGGGAGTTATAGATGATTTGAATGCATATAAATGACATGCGTTATATATATATATATATATATATATATATATATATATATAACGTATGTCATTTATATGCATTTAATATATATAAATATATATATATATATATATATATATACATTTTAATATATATATATATATATATATATATATATATATATATATATATATATATAATTATTGAACTCTTTCTAACCATTTGCACGTATGCTTTCATCACCGAAACATAAATACGTAGACATCTATATCTATGTAAGTATTTTACGTGCGTTTGATTAAATCATTTCTGCCTTAGTCTATCATTTTTAAATTAGTTTCGAATCACATTCACTGAGACCCAAGGCCGATTTTTCCTGTTTCATAAATAATGAAGCCCGTAATTAAAACCAATTACAGCCGATTGCCAAATGATTTTTGGCGCGCCGGCGGAAGTGGAGAGTCGTTTGATGTTTTCATTTCCGCTAACAAATTAACAAACAAACACGATTTATCATTATTTGAAAACGAACGTGGTTCTTCGCCGATATTTTTTTTTTTTTTTTTTTAGTTTCAATCTTTTATGCGATTTATGACTTTCTTTCACTTTCTTTTTTTTTTTTTTTACCAAATAAAGACGGCCTTTCTGTCAGTCTACCGGCTATAAGAATTTCTAGATTTTCAAGAATATCAGGTACAGCTTGTCTATATGTCCCTAATTTTTTTTTCTCGTAAGGAAATGTCAAAATATTAGTATACTCATTAAAGCCCCCTAATTTGAAAGACATCGTGCTCGGACAATTTATCCCTGGTGTGGTCAAACTGCAGCTTGCGAGCTACATGCGTCTCTGACATTTAATCCAACCTCCAATATGGCTGAGAATGCTGGAAACGTTTATTTATTTGCTTTTTACGGTTTGTCAACCTTTAGTAGGTTATATAAAGTCGAAACACTTTTTTGGGGATTGAAGAATTTTTTTAAAGTGAATATTAGATTAAGTTTGGTGAGGAAAGTTGGATCCATATTTTTCCTTGCACGAAAGTCAGTGTAAAATGTTGCATTATGGTGCTCTATTTTCTCACTGACGTTGCAAAATTGACCCCACTATACTGTTCAGTCGACAAAATCAAATACAAACGCCCACATGCGCAAAATAAAAAAAAAATTTTTTGTGTGTGTGCATGCGTGTGTATGTAAAATATATATATAAAGAGAATGTAAATCTCAGAAACTTCACCGTGGAAGGTAGGGTCACGGCCTCATCATGGTGCTACTGTTGTTTGTGTAATAAGCATATTTTTTACGGAATGGTGTTGTTAGCACTACGGTTTTGAATTTTGATGTTGTCCGTACCCGGCTGATAGCTAAGACTAGAGAATCAGAAAAGTGACATTTTGCAGTATTGGGGGTCATTAGGACTTCCGAGGTGCAGGATATTTGAAGAGACTTGTTTTCCCTAAGTCTTCAGACAACTCAAATGCAAACATGAAAAATAAAATAATAACAATAATAATAATAATGATAATCATAGAATTAAACTCTGGTGATGTACGTTATTATTTGTTTGACCAGGATAATTGATTACAATCTGAGACGAGTAATATTTTGCCTAATGACATAGCTTGTCTTTAAATATTCAATATATTTATTCTGTTTGTACTATCTATCTATCTATCTATCTATCTATCTATCTATCTATCTATTCTTTCTTTCTAATCTATCTATCTATCTATCTTTTCTTTCTTTCTTTCTAATCTATCTATCTATCTATCTTTTCTTTCTTTCTTTCTTTCTTTCTTTCAAATCTATCTATCTATCTATCTATCTATCTTTTCTTTCTTTCTTTCTTTCTTTCTTTCTTTCTTTCTTTCTTTCTATCTATCTATCTATCTATCTATCTATCTATCTATCTATCTATCTATCTATCTATCCTTTCTTTCTTAACTGATCACTCAGTTCTTTTTCCCTTGTTTTTATTTCTTTAACTTCTGTTCTCTTTTTAATTGTTTTACTACTACTACTACTACTACTACTATATGACATGCGAGCTTATGGCCATATCACGTCGAAACACCGATTCACTTACAATCACCGAAGTTAAGCAACGTCGAGCCTAGTTAGTACCTAAAGAGGTGACTTTTTGGGAATACCAGTTACTATAAGCTTGGATGTGCTGGTGATGTAATGGATAACCGGTCGGAATTGAAAATCGGAGTGCCGATTTCCAATTCCTGTTGGGTTCGTCATACGCGCAAATACCCTTGGAAAAGATATGACTCCTCCTCTTCTCCCTTCCCCCACCATGTCCAACATCGACTACGGCTTAATTAGTAGGACTTGTTTAAGAGTAAATCATTAATATCTACCTCCAAATTCTTACAACCTAAAATATTTTCTGGCTTTAAATAGCCTGCAAAAAGTTGATAAGCCTTGAAAAAAAAAACAAGAAGAAAAGAAACAATCAATATAGGACAAGAATTTTATGATTAGCAATAATAGAACAGTATGGAGTATTTACAAATTTAAATGACGTCGAAGGCTGTTGAAAATAAATGATGTTTTAAACAAATTTTTGTAATTGTCGTTAATAAAAAATCATTGGGAATATCTTTTCAAGGGTGTAATTTGTTTTTGTTGTTGTTATTATTATTAGGTTGGTGCACAAATAATGACGTAATAATGTCGTTTTTTGACGTATTTTTTAACGTCAAAAACGACATTCTTACGCCATTATTTTTGCACCAACCTAATATTATATTTATTATTATTGTTGTTGTTGTTTTTTAAGTCCTTTGGTTTCTGGTGTTTAACTCATTTCATTTCAGGTCCGACCAGAGACTTAATGTCAGAAGTGACATCGTGACATTTTCCACTGAGCAATTTTGAAAAGTACAGTCTGCACATTATGAAGGGTTTTATCTACGTAAACTATGTGCGATTTTCTTCTCCTTTTACAAAAGGAAAAGAAAATCGCACACATTTTACTTAGATAAAAAACTTCATAATGTGTAGACTGTACTTGTGAGCACATTTTTTTTTTGTATTTCTTTAAGGCATGGGCTACCAGGGATTCCTTCACGGAGTCTATTGGAATCTTTTCCAATCAATCCGATGGCTCCAACTACAACTGTAATTGTTAAAAATCATTATTATTATTGTTATTGTTGTTGTTGTTGTTATTATTATTATTATTATTGTTATTATTTTATTGAAGTTATTTTCTGCTCATGGACTCCAGGAAAGAAAATAAAAGCGAAATAAACAAAAAAAAACCTAAAAAACAAAAAAACAAAACAAAAACAAACAAAAGAGCTCGATTCCTCCAAACAACCAGTACAACTATTAAAATGTTTACATCTTTATAATCGCTGACGACTTGGATATAACGCCAAATTAAGTGAATCTTGGTGGCAATTAAATGCAATAAAATATTAAGGGGGAGAAAGACAGCGAGTGTTCGTGTGTGTGTGTGTGCGCGCGCGCGTGTGCGTGCGTGTGTGTATGAATATTTAAAAAAAAAATAAGAAGAGGACAAAGAATAAAAACAAAACAAATCTAGAAGAACTAAATTAATTATCTACGTTTTATCGTAGCGGTTTGACTTTCTAATCAACTTGGCTTAATTAAAAGCAGAAAATTAATTATAAATGATAACTGGGTGGAAAGAGCAAGAATATTAGAACTGCGTACGTTTTTCACACGCATGCGCTAGAAGGTAGTTACGCATGCGCACACAAACAGTAGAAGATGTGGCTCAACAGCGAAAGGGAAAAGATAATAGAATATAAAGAGCGAAAAGGAGGGTGACAGAGAGAAGGTGACGGAGAGGAGAGTATGAGAGGACAGGAAGAAGCAGATGGTGAAAGAAATTAAACGTTGGAATAATATGAGAATTAGTTGATGTGATTTCAAATTTAATCTCTGCTTGCGTCGGTATGCATTGGGTTAGGGACAGGGGCATTTAAAACTTGAAACGTAATGGGTGCTAATATTAGGCCGCGAAAATTTAAAGTTTATCTCAAAAGTTCATTGCTTACTTAAGTAGCCTATGAAGGGTTGGGATGAAATTAATAGAGGAGGGGAGGTGCAGAGAGAAAAAATAAAGAAAGTTCATAAACATAAAGAGAGAGTGAGGTGAGAAATCGAGGAAAAGAGACTATGTGTTGGAGTGTGTGAAAGTGAGTGAGTTTATGACGGTGAAAAGTGCAAAGAAAAGAGAAACAAAGACAGTGAAAAAGATAGATGATGAACAGAATAATATATATACATACATACATATATATATATATATATATATATATATATATATATATACAGATAGATATGGTCAGAATAAGTTATCTAGCTATTTAGATATCTAGATAGAGAATGAGCCGAATATATATATATATATATATATATATATATATATATGAGAGAATGATAGATAGATAAGGAGAATATATATATATATATATATATATATATATATATATAGAGAGAGAGAGATAGATAGATAGATAGATAGATACATAGATAAGGAATATACTGGAAAGAAAGAAGGAAAGAA